TTTTTTTTGTTATTCAGTTCTTGAGTAGAGTGGTTCGGATGTGAAGTATGTTAGGGAAAAAAACATATTGTGGTCTGAAACAGGGAGATGTTTCAGTAGCATGTCAAATATTTCTGCATGAATTGGATGCCAAACCCAAAAGCAATAACAACAACAAAACTAGTGAAATTGAAGGTATAAAAAGAAGACTTCCCTGTAGGAAATATTCTTATATTTGCGCTTTGGACATACACTTAAACAAGGAGCCCACATCACTAAAGTGATTTTAGTGAGGGCCCTGTTTCAAAGGATCACAGTAGTATTCATACTTAATTCATGACTTAATTTGGTGTGTTCTTTATCTCCCCAGGCCTTGAAACACTGCACCGAACACGTGTGGAATTAGACCAAGCCTTTTGCTTTCTCTTTTTCTACTGCCCATTGATAAACACAAAACTATTATGACAATAACGGAGAGGACTTTAGAAGCTCTAAGAGAATCTTTTGTATTAAGTTTAACTTAGTTATATTTTATTTTTCTTCGTCTTTTTTGTAGCCTATTTTCCTTTTGATGAACATTTTTTGGTCGAAAAGCTCAAAGGGACTGGCAAAATGTGTTCACTATAGCGAGGTTTTTTTTATATGTAGGTTCTGTTACAACACCGCGGCGGAAAACAACAATGGTCAACCGCGGATTACGAAAGCATTTTTTTTTGTTTTATACATTTTGCTCTAAAGCCGGTGAGTCTTCTGTAAACAGCTAGGGTATGTAAACGAACTCACTGGTGTGTTTGTTGCTTTTTTAACCTTTCATAAAATAAAAAGAAGTGATTTTTTTTAGCTCTAACATTTGTTTGTCGTGAATTTATTTCCTTGATGGGTGAAACTAGACTAACTGAATGTCTATCAACTGACTCTACTTTTCGACTTTTTTACTAGTTCTTTCTTATTGTGGGGAAGTCGAGTGCGGGGTATGTAATTTTTTTTACAATCAGTCAGTCGATTTATTTCACAAATAGATTCCGTGTTGCCGTGCGTCAGTTCAGTAATAGACCACAGATGACTTCAAAATGTGGTAAGAACAAAAAAGTGGCACACAAGCCGCAGGCGAGTGTGTCACCGATGTCCCCACCACATTTTGACGTCTTCTGTGATCTGTTAGAGAGATTAAGCATAGCGTTTACGGCAAACGTGAATTTGTACCACTTGAGCAAGTTTTCCATTTACTTGTCGTATACTGTTCATTGCAACTACACGAAAATCGGTAAATTAACTCCAATTCTGTCTATACGAATTGTTTTAAGCTGTTTTTATCTGCTCATTTCTCATTCTGAAAATTTCTCAACTTGAATCTCAAATTACCCGTCTGCCCTAAACGCGATGCTTAATCTCTCTATTACTGAACAGACGCACAACAATATGGAATCCATTTGTTTTATATACAAAGGGAACAAATGTAGTGGCGATCGACTGAGACTCCTCGAGTTCCGTTTCTTTTGCGAAACGCTTTTTAATCCTTCTTCTTCTTCTTGCTTTTCGTATTTATCTACAGCCTCGGTAAGACCAGTGTCATCCACCCAGTCGGGTAAAATAACGTCTAAATAAATAACAGAAAAACTAAAATTTGTTAATAATGACGTCGACTGTGCATCTGGCCCCAGTTGTTCAAAAGGTGGATAGTACTATCCACTGGTTAACAGCTGCATCGCTAAAGTGGAGGTTGGGTGCCTGGAGTATCCAGGGGCTTCCACTATTGGCAGCCAGCCCGTAGATTGAAATAATGCCCCCATGACCGGCACAACAGTGCAACTCAGCCATGAGCCCCCACACAAAAAGGAAAGGAACAGGCACCCGTCACACTTAAAAACATCAGTGGAGAAAAAAAAAACAGCAACAACAAGAACAAAGCCTAGGGAGAGGTTGGGGGGAGGGGGAGAAAATGGGTGGAAGAACCTCGTGGGCTGAAAAAAAAAAAACAGCACGAGGGAAAACTGGACGCGCCAGTGAATCACATGATCGATGTAGCGAGCTACTGGGCATACGCATGCCAAAAGACCGCTGACCTCAGGCACTTTAGGCGCTCTTGGTTGTCAACTTCTTTAAATTGCATTCAAATGCATATAAATCACTATCCAGTGGATAGCACAATTGGTTTCCATAATACTTATCCACTAGATATGGATTTATCAAGTGGATAGCGCTATCCATCGTTTGAACAACCGGGGCCAGTCCTCTGGTAGATCATAGCTCGGTCTCGTTCTCAGACGCCGCGATTCTTTTGGTCAGCGACGGGAATCGATCCCTGGCACAGGCTATGCACCCCGATGACAAGAGTCCGATTTTTATTCATCTAGGAGGCTTTTAGTATGGGGGGAAGGGTAGGGTTAAAGTTTGTTAACGCCTAGCTCAGTTCGGAGAGCACCCGTCTGCAGAGCGGGAGGTCGTGGGTTCAATCCCCGGCCGGACCAACAACCAGGGTCTTTCAAAAACTGTTGAGATCACGCTGGCTGTGATTTGAGTTCTTGCCTCAGTTAAGATGATCGCGTCATTGGGCAGTGACGTAAAGCCGTTGGACTTGTTTCCTTCATTCTTCTTTCATTGGTCAAAATCAAGGGGGACGTAAAAGAACCCACACTACTGTTTGAAAAGAGTAGGGGAAGTTTCCTTGGTGGTGTCGTCTACCTTTCAGGCATCATGCATCATTTATATCATAGGCTGTGACTGGGTTACCGTAAACTCATAAATGGACTGATAGTTAGCGGCTGCCTGTGGCACCCCAGCTTGTATGCTGCAGTCCGAGCTTACTGTTAACATGTAAATAGGGGGCGTCTTGTTGTCCTCTAATCTACGACATTTCATTACATTAACAAATTTTAGAATTTTAACCACCTCCATGTCTGAAGTGAGCAAAATACTCTACAATCTACCTTTTGACTTAATTCGTACAAGACCAAAGCCCTCAAATAAATCAGCCCTTTGCTCCATATTACCAGCCTTGTAGCGCATTCAGTTTGGTTTTAAGTAAAGCCTCCCCCCCTCTCCTAGAGGGCTTCCCAAGGTAATGAAAGTAAAATAATTCCCTTTGGGGAACCAATGTTGTTCAAAGAATGGATAACCTTTTGTTTAAATGGTACATCGAATTGCGGATTCAGGAAAAACTGTCATTAGTCTGCGTGACGTGGTAAACTTTATTAACATGAATCTGGTTGTTTTTATTTTGAATTTCACCATTTGCACATCTCCCATATAATACACCTTGTTTGCCCCCCTCCCCAAATTTTGCTTAACCCCTTGGTTTCGATTCCTCCTATAAAATTTTGAGTCCCTTCAGTAAAGGACTAAGCGCTTTGGCGCCGATCCGGGGCTAAGCAAAAAAAAGAACTTGCGACGTAAATAACTCTGCCAATTCTCTATGAGGCCCCAGTTGTTCAAAAGGTGGATAGCTCTATCCACTGGATAAATCTCTATCCAGTGGATAGTGCAATTGATTTCCCTAATACTAATCCGTAGGATAGTGATTTATCCGTTAGATAGCGCTATCCAACTTTTCAACAACCGAGGTAATATAGATCTTTAAGTCCCGGGAACCAGAGAATAAACGTACAGGAATCAGATCTAGAAATACTTGCCTTGTGTTCTATCTTGATGATCTTGGTTCTATTGTAAGACAAATTCGAGGGATAAAATGTGACTCTGGTCTGAACTTAAAAAATGGAAGAATTAAAAAGTAAATGTGTTTCAATCAGGATATCACACAACTTTAGAGAGATCATTCAGCCGGTACCTTGTTGCAGTAACTTACTCAGGAGGTGCTCGTACCAGACATCACGTGACTGTAACGAGTGAAAATTTTATATCGATCATATGATCGACTATAATCATCACCAATTCTAACCCGTACCAACTCTAGATTTAGTCTGCAGCGCAGGCCCGCTCGGATTACGATGTGGTTGAGTCAAAGAAGGAAGGTTATTTTTAGCGGTAACAGTACAGTGCTGGGCTGGTTCTCCCAAACTCCCTGAGCTTGCCAACTACAGACTGTTTTAGTAAAGTACTTCTCTCATACATAGTCACGAATGCCTTAATAAAAATACTATTCAAACAGTATATAACTATGGACGTAAGAATAATTCAAGATGGGAAACAGTTGAATGGTTCCCAGGTGAAACTGAAATCACGATGTTTCGTTCTTCAGCCATGTTCAGCCAGTGCACCCAGGACGCACAGAGGGGATAACAGGTTAAAAATTGCTTCTCGATGTAGGAAACACCCTTTTGGTTTATGGTTTTGCGAAAGGTAAACTAGAAGCAGTTGCTTTTTTTTGAACAAAATTTTATGAAACTCCTTCCTTGTTTCTCACACTAAGAACTTCAGGCGGGAAGAGTCACGAAGTCACGAAATTCGCCAATTCGTGCTGCCTAAATAGGGACAATAGTCGCACCCCCCCTCTAGAGCCTAATAACGAGTTGCTTGAACAGTTGTGAGAAAATCATTATAGATCGTAGAAATATTAAAAAGAAATCTTCAATATAAATTCGCATAAACCATTTTTGGTTCTCAAAATATTCTACTTCAATTCAGTTAGGTGCATTCTGACTCTTAGAGGAAGATTCTAAGTAATGGTTGTTAAAAAATTTCAAAATTTTGATGAAACATCGAAGATTGCAAGTAACCTCTTACTACCTGTGCGCTCAGCGCTTTAGTGAGCTGGATCTCGTGTTTGAAGTAAAAGTTCAGGCTCGATGCGATGAATGCGATCGTGTTATACTGTTTGAAATGGGAGAATTTCCTTGTTTATGGAACCGTTTCTTGTGGTAACGTTATTACCAGCGTACAAAGGGAATAATTCTGTTAGCTGTGCTGCTTATTTTGGAATCGAAAACATTGTTATACCTGCCGTAGAACGGCTTTTAGACCAAGAAGCGGGAAGGACAGCGGTTGTGGCGCATTCAAGAATTTTTCTGGCTTTTACTGTGGAAGTTTGAGTAAATTGTCAAGCAACAGGTCAATTTGTTCGTGCACGGACGTCCCTTTGTGTGTTTTTGCGACGAGCCGTATGCGGCGATTCACCTTTCATGCAGTTTTGCTTTTATTTATGATGGACTGAGGTAATCGATTCATTGACAATGGCCGTGGTCCACTGGTCGCGTAAATTCTGGCGAAAACTTTGAGGAATTTTGCTTAGAACGATTTTTAAATCTTATTGAATTTGAATTGCCTTTACTTTGGAACTAGTATTGGATTATTTTTTGTGCGAGAAATTTAGAAAAGCAGAGATTTGTTGGCCTGTTTTGGATCCGTTGTATGGATCGGCGAGATTCAGTGATTGGTTCACTCGCGTAAGAGTCGAAATTTAAAACTCCCTCCTTTTTACTGGCACACAACTTTGTGCTTCATTACAAGGGGTGATTGAACCAGGAACACCATGTTTCAACCCTCGCATTTTCAAAAAATGGCCCAACATTTGGGTGTAGACTCTCTAACCTACGAGAAAGAGTACAATGCATTCATGACAAAGTTGAAGAACTTCCACGAGTCCAAAGGGTGAGCTTAGTGAATGTTTGGAGGTTTTCTTGCCACGGATATTTTGTGTGTTATTTCCGCAATACTTAAAGATAATTTTATCCTATACTTTGTCGCCTAGGACGCCGTTTAGACGTTTGCCGTGGTTAGGAGGGCAATATTTGGACTTGTATCTTCTGTACCGTAAAGTTACATTGGCCGGTGGTTGGGTGAAGGTAGGTGGCTAGATTCCCGCGTTTTGTTCAAATTTTATAATGGTCTTCGTCGATTCTTTCGTCTTACGAACCACTGAGATGTGACTTGAACGGTATCTGTCCATATCCTAGGTCACGGAAGGGAAAACTTGGCGAGACATCGCCGAAGTTTTTAATTTACCGCCGACCTGTACAAATGCTGCTTTCGCTTTACGGCAACATTATTCTCGGTAAGTGAAACACAAGCCTTCCATTCACGTCCAAAGTTGTGTACATTTAGGACTCTAACCTTTCAATTAACTGACGTTTAAAGAAAATTTAGGGGATACGTTACGTCTGTACCTCTTGAATGGTGCATTTTGGCTGACAAAAGTCACATTACCTCGAGCAAGAATCTCTCTAACGATTCTTGTAAAGTCACGTTACAACGAGTGTGCTGGTGATAAGATTATACACTTGGAAACTTCCGTTAGCCACATAAAATCTGTTATTTGCCTTGACATTTTCTCCATCGTAATGCAAGGTGTATTTCATTTGTTTGCCAGCACTGGAATTTTTGAAGAGTCGGTGAAAGTTTGGGAAACAAAGTTAGGTCTTTATGCCCGGGGATGCCTTGATAATAGCAGTTTCTTTTAGCAGTGTGTTTCCTAAAATTCTCGTAAGCTTAATCTTTTACATAATTTTATGATTGATTTGTTTTCACGGGGTTATTTCCGGTATTCTTGACTCTAGCGATGATATTCCTTCAAAATAATATGTATCCTTGTTGAAAGATATCGGATAAAGAAAGAAAAAACCACTGACAATGGACTACTACTTCTTTGTGTGTGACTATGTGCATTGTTATCGAATATTTTTTAACGATCTGAAAACTTCACGACTTCTTGTCGTTCGTGGTTTTAGCTTTATCCTGAAAAAGAAATAATTCCCTTGAGCCATGCAGGAAGCAAGCTTTAAAATGGTTTTATGGCATTAAATCTCATTATGCAAATGAAAACGTGCTACATAAAACAATATAATTATTGTCCATCAGTTTGGCCTAAGTCGAACATCGAGGCTTTCGTACGTTTGTAAGAAACACAGACGAGTTGAAGTTTTTTGAGAGAATTATTCAGAGATTAAGTAAGATATCTCTTACTCAAACGCATTTGTTTAGACTCTTATTTTAGTAGATACAATAAGCTTGGCACAACTCATTCAAGAATTTTGATAGAGAAAGAGGAGACTTCTGTTACCATGTAAAGGAACATACCCAGTTGAAAAGCTTACACGATTTTTGAACTTTCCTATTCCAAAACCTTCCTCACTTCCACATTTCTATTGAGAAAATAGAAGGAAAATTTACAATGATTAAGAAATGCATCTCAGTTTTAATGATTGTTACTAATTCTAAAAATCAATGTTTACATTTGATGTCATACCCCTGGTTGCTGGTAAAATTAAAGCTTGTGTTGTCATATCAGTGAAGTATTTCTTGAACTTCCTTAAATACAAGTTGTAATTTCTTTTATATTTCTTCACATTAATTTGTTATATTTCATCCATTAAAAAAAAAGAAAAATGTGGCAAAAAAAGAAGTTCTTGAGACAGAACAGAACAATGTTTCAAAGCTGCTTATTTTCTTCTTGAATGATTATTAAATGGCAACAAAATTATTCTTGCATGTTCAAGGAAAAAAAATTTAGGGTTAAGTCTACAACAGGTGCAATCAATGACAAATAGTGACTAACAGTTTATTAAGTAGCCAAATGACTATTGTTACATGACAAGCCTGGGTATTTCAGAGTATGTATTTGGTCAGTTTAACTCTAGTGATTAGAAAAAGAGCATTTTACCTGTGTTTTTTTTGTCAGTACTAAATGAAGTAGGGGTGTAGTTTACTGGAAAATGAAAAATCATTCTGTGAATTGTAACTCGAGTGCTCCCTGTGAAATGATAAATGCTTAGATCTTTGATTGTGAATTGTGAATACACTGATATTGAAGAAATTAAAGCAGGCCTCTGTGGCTTGATTTAACTCAGTGTAGCTTTTTGTTCAGTAGGTTGCGAGCAAGCCATACAACTCAAAATTTGAGTTGAGAAAATGTTTTTTCTAGTTCCACCACCTATGAAGTGAAGTGCTCAAAGCACTTTAGAAATTGTTACCGTAACTATTTGTTTGACTTTTGTTTTTGAGAATCAAGTGTCATGGCTTGGGAAATGTAAAATATTTTTGCATTTCATGAGTAATGAAACTGGATTCTGGGAAATAGAAGTCATACATCATAGAGACCATTAAAAAAAGTTATGAAAATTACTGGTCTTGTCCTGATGGTTTTTGACCTCTTGCTGAATTGAGTGATCTTATATACCTTATTCTCACCTAATTTCGCAAGTATTAAATTTGGGAAAAATCATGAGCCATATTTTTTGAGTATTTAATTTCGTGATTTTTAGGGATTTATAGGGATTTTTAGTGAATTTTTAGAGATTTTTAGATATCGCAAGTATTAAATTTCACGATTTTTCCCAAATTGTGAAATTGAAAACTCTTGAAATTAAGTGAGATTAAGGTATATGTGAAATACTAATAGTACAGTAGAACCGTGGTAACTCGAACTCTGAAGGGAAACGAAAAACTATTCGAGGTAGTGGGGAATTCAAGTTATTGGGGTTAATTTCACTGAAATTTTGATCAAGGGAAAGGAAATTGAGTTTAAGTTAGTGGGGAATTCGAGTTATCCAAGTTTGAGTTATTGAGGTTCTTTTGTATTTAGGTTTAATTATATACCACACAAATCCCAATCAGGTACCTTACTTTTTTGCAAGTGAAGAGAAAACTACTGGAAAATTAAGGATCATATCATTGAGTAAGTCTGCTTTCATTTCACTCTTTCAGTTACTTGGAAAGCTTTGAGAGAATCAACTTCTTTGGGGAAGATGCAGAAGATGTTCTTTCTGCTGGAAGACCCCACACTCCAGTTGGAGGAGGCTCATTTTCAACTCATATACCCACGGTGGCAGCTGCAGGTACCCCACTAATATTCTAAATTGCATTCCAGTATTTATTTGTTGTTGGGTAAGCCCCCATAAGAGGCCTTCAAACCCTTTCACCTCTAGTGGCTACATGCAAGACCTGTTCTCGTAAGCGGCCACATCCTGAGGGTGTCCACTTATGAGGGCTTCTACCGTATTTATATGTAAGGCTTCGTGACTAACGTAGCTATACTGATAAAAAGTATTATGTTGTGGGATATTTAAATATTATTTTATTAATATCATTGATGGGCATACCTTTTCTCACCTTTTGCTTTTTTTTTTCCAGACTATGTTTCTGTCATTTCTACAAGTAAAGGTATTGTTTTCAAGTGCGTGTTTTGCATTGCTATGTGTGACTGGTTGAAGTTGTTTTGATACAGAAGCCCATTACTTCAAAATTTTATTTTAATGTACCATCAATGGAATTTTGATTGCAGATCCATCAAGGAACTTTGATAAACTTGTTCTCTCTCTTCAATGTGGCATGCCTAATGAAGTGGATTTTGCCATTAACATTTGTATGCTGTTGTCAAATGTTAGCAACTCAGTTTTTAACCTGAGCAAGGTATGATAAGAATGAATTTACCTCCTCTTGAAATCCTTCTATGAATCAATAGTTAATCAGGAAAGGACCTACAAAAACCGACAATTATGTGCAGGCCCATAAAACTTCTCAGAGAATAAGTGAGAAACAGTGCGCCGCTCAGACCTGAAACTTGGATATATTGTATATGTTACAGGTTTGAAATTTGACTTCTGATTAAAAGGTTTTAACCTAGGTTGATTATCAGATTAAATCAAAATTAACCTGAAATCAAATTTGACCTGTAACATGTATTTATGAGTCTTCTGTAACATTTCATTTTCTTGTTTTGTTGAGCGGTTTCAAATATAATTTTTAATTGTGTGACAGTAAAAACTCTCTACAACTTAGAAGACAATTTTATCACCAAAAGACTATACTTAGTTTCATTTTTTGATGCTAACGCTTTTACTTATGTGACTTGATTTATTTCATTTAGGCTCCAGCAGTAATAGATACATTGTTGGCACACACTGGGATATTTTCAGAAGGTATGCAGAAGTTCATGCAAAAAGAAACGGGAGAAGTAGTTTAACTAGAAATATATCCTCGTTGTCAGAAAAGTCTTGCAAAGATGCAATATCTGAAAAGAAACAATAATGTTTCAAAACTTCCAGAGGATTATTGTGCTATCCTGACTTCACTGAGAACAAAATTTTTAATAACCCCAGCCTGTCTTTATTTTCACCCTACAAGGTTGCAGTAGTTTAGTATCTTATGTAAAGCGTATTTCCTTGCCGTTTTCCAAGCTTTTGTTTGGTTACTTATTTTCACTGTCATCTTAAAAGAAATTGTGTTAATATTTCTCTAGATTCCCATGGATTAAAAGAACTGTATGAAGATTGGTACTTAAAGCAGCACATGGAAAGAGATTTTGTGAAGGTAATGTATGAAATGCAGGTTTCCAGCTCTATAGTGAACAAAAATGATTACCATGTAGCATTGAATGTTATTTCCTTGTTAAACCTGGTTGGGTAATATAAACTTAAAACTTGTTTTCGACAGTTTTGGAAAGATAACTTAAAAGTTGAAGGAGTTCGGGAGATCCTCTGCAGCAAAAATGGTATGTACAAGTTTTAATAATTCCTATTTAGATTAGTTGTATTAGATTCTTTGACATAATGGGTAGAGTTATGGGATGATTTTTAGGCTTCCCTTTGCCTCTCTCCTGTCACTTTTGTAAATATCGCTAATTTATGTTCGAATGTTTTTGTCTGTTTAAATATAACTAGATTTTAGTTTTTAGTTTATTTAGTGGCTAGTTAATTGCAAACGACCCCACAAGCTCATGTATCTTTAATACTTATCATTTTAAAATAAAGGCAATCTATCTATCTATCTATCTCCCAAGACAAGAGCTGTCAAAATAGACCAATAATAGGGTATACTAGAATCTGGTATTCGAGAACAAGCTTTTGCTAAAAAGTACTACGGGCGTTCCCTTGCTCTAACCTCCTGCCCCACCCCCTCGCCATTTTCTTCCACTTACATCTCTTTGCACCATCCCCATGATCTGAACGCATGGAACAGGCTAGAAAACGAGCCTTCTAGAGACACATTGGATATTTAATGGTCCTACTGTTTTTCACACTCAGCTCTGTATTGTTTTGTATTTTGGAACCTTATTGGGTTTCCTTTGATGTGTGAACTCTAGCTTACAATATTGCTGTTTCAAGTATCAGTTTTTACACATCTAAGTTCAAATTTTGGTCTCATGGTTCTTAGCAGATGAGGGACCAAATGCTACTGATGTAGAGGCACTTTTTCATCCTGTAAGAAGAAAAGTTGGAGCAAAAGACGTTGAATGTCAGAGGATTTCCCAGGTTATTACACAAAACAATTTAGAATTTTAAATGCAAGTTCAGCCCTTGTTGTGAATTGTCTTCAATGAACCAGATGTTTGAAATTTTCCAGTACGTCCTTGTTATGTGGCGAGTGATCTTGAATTTTATTGCACTTTTGTTCTCATTTTTTTGCAATGTTAAAAATAATACTGTCAAAATTGAGCCTCCTTTTTTCCAAAAATTATGTATGCAGAAAAAGTAGTAAGAATAAGGTTCTGTCCAGTCTCTTTTTCATATTAGAACAGAATAATATTATTTGCCAATGTGGGCCGCATCTTAATAGTTCTTGTTTCTCCACTCTAGCCCATCTGTTTCATTTCATGTTATAGGTGTAAACAGTGGAGATAGAAAAACAGTGGTGTTATTTTGAGTGCTTGACATNTTCTCATTTTTTTGCAATGTTAAAAATAATACTGTCAAAATTGAGCCTCCTTTTTTCCAAAAATTATGTATGCAGAAAAAGTAGTAAGAATAAGGTTCTGTCCAGTCTCTTTTTCATATTAGAACAGAATAATATTATTTGCCAATGTGGGCCGCATCTTAATAGTTCTTGTTTCTCCACTCTAGCCCATCTGTTTCATTTCATGTTATAGGTGTAAACAGTGGAGATAGAAAAACAGTGGTGTTATTTTGAGTGCTTGACATATTATGATAACACTCCTCTCTGCGCCATCACACTGTCTTTGTCAGTGGTTTACAATTAGGCCCAGTTCAAATGTTGATCTTTCATGTACCGAACTTAATGCCAATTTAGGTGGACCCAAATGATATAAGGTCGATGGTTGATTCAGATGTCGAACTTAATTAGTCGGACTCAATTCATTTTTACGAATCATGTTCAATGGTCTGAAATGCTTGCAAGTGAAAATAAATTTTAGTTATTTATTCCTTTTGTTTGGCACATGAGAAGTTCGATGTTTAAAACAAAGTCACTCCACAGTCGAAATTCCCATGTGGGCCACTCGATCATAATTCATGAGTCGACCCAAATTAGATATGTTGAACTTAATTGATTCAAACGTTGATCTTTTCATATACTTAATTGAAGGGATTAGGTTCGATTCATGAAAAGATTGATGTTTGAACTGAGCCTTATTGTAAGTAAGCAATGGTGTCAGGCCTTGTCATCAATTTTTCAACTTCCTTTTGTAGGTTGGAATGATCCTTTATAACTTCTCATTTGATGACACAAATGCTAGTGTCCTTGCAAGTCATCCTTTGTGTTTGAGGTAAGACTGTCGTGATAAAATTGTTACTTTCTGAATTGGGATATGGAAGAGAATCCCTCCTTTTTTTAGACCTCTCAGAGCACATTTTGCTTGCTATTCACACTTAGTCATATGTCTCTTATCATTTCCACATAGACAGCTGGCTTGTGAAAATATTGACTGAAATATTGTTACAATATTATGGATTTCATTTTGAAATTATGATATCTTTTGGCCATTAAAAGTGCCTAGGTATTCTTAAAATTGACAACTGTCTTGTTATCCACCTATTCACGTAACCGTCAGCAACGATCCTCAGCCATTTGCATTAAAAAGAAACGTAAGATTAACAGTGCAAATTTCCTGTTAGTCCAGTCTCTTTGTTTGGGAGAGTTTTGTTGTACCCTGTCTTAGAAAACTTGGCTAAAGTGGAATTTCTAGCATGGGAAACAAAAAAGGGCTAAAGAATTCCTCCTGAAGAGAGGAAACAATCACAGAAAATTCACATTTCATTGTAAGCAGCTTTATGCAACCTGCCTCAGGTGCTGGGGTCGTTGCCTGCAGATCTTTGTCTTGTTGTAACCTACACTAATGCGATATCACATTTTCAAGAAGTTCAAAATGTTAGTCCTTGGTTGAAACATCTTTCGAATGCGTGGATAATTGTCAGCATGGTGCTTTAGGTAGATAATCAGTAATGAGGGGGTTCACTCCCTATGGTTTTCTTGTGGAAAGTATTGAGTGACTTTTTGTTGCCTTTTTGCAGATTTCTTATACAGTGTATCTGTAGTGAACATGGATTTCTTCAAAGAATGGCCTGGGAGACTCTGTCAAACTTGGCAGAAAAGGTAAATCTACAAGATTAACATTCTGTTTTTTTTGAAAGGATAGTGTTGTTTATGCATGATTTTCTTTTCATACAAACAGATGTTATTGGAGCCCATAGAATCATCCAATACTCAGATGTTCTTTCAGATGCTTCATTTCTTTTTGGATCACAAAGATCGATACCATGTCACAAATGGTAAGTTTTTTAAAAAAGAGTGTATAATTTTTTCTTAACTGAATTCCAAGTCGTTCATGTAAAATTTGCCCCCTTCCTATGACAATTTTTGAAAAGATTTTTTGGTTGAGCAAAACCACACTCGTCCAAAGGGCGGCTTTTGAAAGTTATCTTAATCATCCGTACAAGATTGTAATCTGGGACGACCGGACGACTGGGAATATTTTACTCTGCTTTACCTTAAACAAAAGTAACGGCTGATAATAGTGCAAAACAGTAAATCTGAATCTGAATCTAAATCTCATTGCTGTTGATAGCCATGGATGTCTTGGGCAAGTTGTGTACCCTTGAGGGAAATGATGAGGTCATAGAAGGTGGCCTTGAACCTGAAGCATATCAGTCCCTCATCAAAGTTCTGATTGTCAGTGATGTTCAGGTAATGTACGAAACTTAAAAAAATATCATTGGGCTGGTTACTAAAATAGTGTTTAACAAAATGGTGTTCTAAGCCATTGTTTGTTTGTTCTTGAAGTCCAGTTCAGTCCTGGCTAGAAAGCCATTAACCTACTTAGAATACACCACTTGTGATAAACAAAATAGGGGGCCACTTATTTTCTTACTTTAAGCTAGAACTTTGTTGAAAAATACCAACCTGTTTTGTGCAATGTCCAGTTTGGGTAACTTTCAAAATGCGGTTGACTTTGTCTAATTGGACCTGTTGAGGTAGGAAGTGAGGGTTTGTTTTGAAGAGTGTCAAAGAAAATAGGACTACAAAAAGATGGACTGGAAATATTAAGTTTGTTTTATAAGCTAATAGAAGAAGGTGTATGGCAGTTGTTGTTCACTGGGTTTTCCTTGCCTCTGTAATTTTGCGCATTCCACATACAAGTATCTGGAAGTTTATTTATTTATTTATTTATTTGTGTATTTAGTTATTAAGAGTTACTTGTTCATTTGTAGAAATTCTTCCTTGCTACAGCACCTAAACAGCAATAAACAACAGCTGCATAAATTTGCATGGTAGAAATTATTCTTGAAATTTCATGTCTGTTTCAGTTGGTGTTATCTTCGCTGGAATCATTGTACAATCTCTCGGGAGTTGGCCAAGTGACCTCAGATCACATTGCCGAGGTTCATCACAGTATAGGTAGGTGAATGGTTTGATGCATGTGTATGTTCACTCCACATAAACTGTTTTAATCCTTGATTGCTTTTTCCCTTTAGTTTTATCCTTATATTATTATGGGCTGTTCTTGTATGTACACATCAATGTGGTCTTGTTTCTCCAGTTCCAGTTATTTTAAGGATAGTATAGCATTGGTTTCTGGGAAAGTTTTATCCATTGGATAATACAATATTTATTCTTGTTCTACTTATGCTTATCTGCTAAGTAGTGATTTATCCAGTGGATAGCATTGTCACCCTCGGCACAACTCAGGTGTAGAATTTAAGCAATCAAGATCATTCTGATTGAATACCTTTAAAGCCTTTTAACTTCAAACAATGTTCATCATCATCATCATCATCATCATCATCAGCATCATCTGTATAATAGTCTTACTGATCATCATCGTCATCATTATTTTGTTTTGCCTTGTTTTAATGATTCTTAACAAAGGGCTTTTTACTTTGTGCAGATGTTTTGGTGTGTTTGGTGACTATGGATGCAGAATGCTTTGGTCCAGAAGCCTTATCAGAGGTGCAAATCTTGGAAAAAAGAGTGCCTGCTGCTGTGCAACCAGCCATGCAAGCTGCCATGCCATCCCCAGCAACACCCAAACCACAGTCATCTCCAATGCCAGGTCTTTACTTTAATCTTTCTTTAGTATTGCTGTACTTTAAAAAGTTATATCCAGGCTAGAAATAACCAAAGGTTAATGAGTGTAGGAGGTATGTTTAGAATGAGGAGGATAGGTTTAGTAGGGAGATTTTTGAAAGTGACAAAAAATTATCGATATACAGTGTAAACCATCATAAGCCTAGATGACAAAGCTCACTGAGGATCAATTGTGCCTTTTTCATAAATGTGTGAATAAATTACCCTTTTCAGGGAAACTCCGTGTGATTTAAACTTTGCCTAGCATAACACACTGTAAGCTTTAGAAACATAAATATATATGTAATCTGAACAGTTGGTGCAGAGCATTTTATTAAAGGGATGTTCAATATTGCATTACAAACCAGAATTTCCAAACCAGCTGATTCACTGGTTGGGATAATCATACTTTTGAATACGTCTTAATTCAGAGTATTTTTTGTTGTTGCTTAGTTGTTCCACAGCAACCTAAGGAGCCAGTCGTTCAGCACCAAGCACCACCATCTAGCCCTTCACCTGGTCCAATACGCAGCCCATCGCCCAGCCCAGTGCCAATCAAAACAACTGGAACTGAGATAGAACCAGAGACATTCACTTATAACTGGTGAGCCTAAACGTCTGAACACAAGATGCAATGTGTGACACAGTATTAGTACCACTCATGTGTCCGTGCTGTTCCTGCATGTGCATGTAGGAGATAATACCTTCCCTTCTGCTTTTAGACAGTATTCTTAGTTCTGGTAACTTTTTATTTTTTACAATTCCATTACTGTATTACAGGTTACAAGGAACTTATGAGTCTTGTCCCGGCAGTTCTGTGTCCCGCATTGACATCTATGCTGACTACCTATCATCTTGTAGCAAGTTGGCCAGAATAGGGATTCTAAATGCAACAGCATTTAATAGAATTATCAAGTAAGCTTAATCTTCTGTGATTTACTGAGCTTTTCACAAACATGCGAACTCTAAAGTTCAAAAGCCGCCTTCACAATTGCGTTTTTCGCTTCCGTCAATCACAATTATGATCACAAGCAGTGAACCTTGAAACACAGAAACACATAAAACGGATCGAAATCCACCAATCACAAATCACAAACCTTGACCTTTTGAACCCGTCAAAGTAAAGTTTTGTTTCCTAAGAGGTCCGTTAAGATGATTGACGGCAGCGAAAAATGCAATCGTCTGTTGGCTTTTGAACTTCAGAATTCGCATGTTTGTGAAAAGTGCAGTAAGATAGTAATATTATTATAACACTATTCGCATTTTGGTCACCAGAAGAGTTTAGGTGAGTTTGCCCCTTAGTGGTAATTAGAGATTGACAAAGCCTTTCTTCAGGGTTGTCAGAAAGTTTTGAAGTAGATGGCTGAGTTGTCAAAGTAAGTGGCTAGTCCAGGGATATTTTATTTAAAAAACACCATCTGTAAAGAAATTCCAAGCAGAGTAGCCGGCCAGTACTAACCAAGTAGGCGGCGATTTTCACTGGCAGCCGGCTACTTTTGACAACCCTGCTTTCTTACCTCCCAGGTAAAATATCTATTATTAACCTCTTTCAAAAGAAAGGGTGCCTTATTATAGGGAAGATTGGGATGGATATAAAAGCTTTTTACAAGGGTCTGTATGGAAAACCGGTGATCCATGACTGGGTAGGAAGAGTGGTAGCTTGTGTACAGCTGCCCCCTCCAAGAGTGGTTCTTCCCATACAAATCCCCTTAATTTTTCGGCGGCCAAAGCACTCACTTCTTTTGAGATGTAAGCCTGAACATTTTGTAGTTCAGCTATTTTTTCAAAAAAAGAATCATTTTTGTGTCATGTCATTAAAGCCCCATTTACACGGCGGAAAATTTTTGGCGTGGCTTGGATGAAAGTGGTACGCGTACCAAAAAAATAGTACTGATTACTCATTTACACGTTCTTTTTTCTTCCGTGCTAAACGATGTGAAATTATGATTTGGTACGGGTAAAAGGCTCAGCATCTCGGCCAGCGTACTCGATTCTTGCTTAGTGCGCATGCTGCTTCCTCTGTAAAAACATGGTGGACGAAAAGTTCTTAGAATTCCCACAGCTGCATGTAGTCTACGCACAAGGAACAAATGGGTGGTCATTGAATACTGGTGCGGTTATTGAATTATTGTGTGGTTATTGAACACACTGAACTAACGAAAAAGTATTTACCACTTAGTTAATGCTACACATTTATATGAAAAAATTCTAACGTATTTGTGGCTATTTCCCCCGCAGCTGCATGTTGTCCACGCTAATCAATGAACTAACGTGTGGTCATTAAACCACTGTCATGTTTATTGAACTTTTGGTTTATATTGAACTAACGAAAAAGCTCATCTGTACATACATATTGGTGCTGACCAAAGGCACGAAGGCTCATCAGAGAAAAATTAGCTCGGCACGGCTAATCGTTTACACTGCACACTTTATCCGAGCTGGGCTAGATTTTCAGGATCGTGTACCAGTTTTATCCGTGCTCGGACTACCTCTCGACATGGTCCGAGCACGGGTGAAATTTTGGTCCGGCAGGGATGGGCCAAAGTCGTTTACACGACTAAATCTATGTGTGCCGAACCAATTTTTTTGGTACACGTACTTTTTTCATCCGAGCCGTGCCAAAAATTTTCGGCCGTGTAAATGGGGCTTAAATGTAAATTATTTAGGCAAAGTTATTTTTGAACCAATGCTGGTTAGCAGTTTTCTGTACTATGCTTGGGGCAGCATGATAGCCTCTAGCAGGGCACCTAGTGACTTGTATACACAGTCGTTTGCTTGCGGTTCTTCACAAAGTGTCTTTGCTATAGCCTTGTTGCTTGCTTGCCATTTGTGTGCTGTGTTTTTTCCAACCCTCCCTCTTTTTTTCAGGGCAAGGTAAGTATTGGTTTGTGAGTATTCCCACTGAACAGTTCAGTGTGACAGTACCTAGTGCGGGCCGCTTGCAGGGTTACCATGGATACCTCCTTTCTCGTGCTCAAGCATTGGCTGGCTCCATCAACCTTGTGGGCACCAGCAGCAAATTTCATCTATTGGTGATGAGTTTAATAGGGAAAAATGATCATGTGAGAAAGTTGATCATGTGACCAGCTGTTGCAAAAGGCCAACTAAATATAATGAAGGCTATTGGTAACAAGTCACAGTAGCAGTGTCACAAAAACAATCAATGATACCTGTATACAGGTGCTACATGTACCTAGATACAGTTACCTTGGAAACCAGAAGTCTTCTTGCTCACCAGCGGTGAGAAGCATAAATATGCTTAGTGCAGGTCTTTCTTGGTGCTTTGCAGCTCGCTTTTACGGCTTCGCCCTCAATTCCATCACCCCCAAAGAGAGAAAACCTAAGCATGAATGGTAAGATACATTTGGCATTGGGTAAAGAACTCAGTTTTCCTTTTGCAATTGCAGATTGGCTTTCCCTGATGGCCAGCTTCGAAGAGTGCAGTCAGGGGATAATGCGCAATATGTTCTAGCTGGGATAAAAAGAAGAGCTAACCCTCTCCCGGTCGAAACCCGTACTGACTCACCAGCTACAGCTAGACAACCTAGTGCTGCAAGTCCCCATTCAGCAGGACACAGAGTATCCCCAGGACAACAAAGTACCTCTAGAACCCCTACCCTACCTGTTCAGAGTCAATTGCAGCCTGCATGGAATCCTCGGCAGCAAAATGCAGTTGCTGCACAGCCAACACCCGTGCAGTCCATGACAAGAACAGTTGAGCAGCGACCTTCACAGTTTGCAGGAGGAAGTCAGCAGCAGCAGCATCAACCTGGAATGGTTCGAGTGCCTAGAAGACCAAGCTTTTCCAACCAAGGAAACATGCCTACAACTCCTGATCAGGTATTTTTTTTTTAACCCTGTGACTCTTAAGTCCCAAGCACGGGTTTAGCTACCTGCACGCTAGTTTGGAACACATGTGTGTGCTAAAAAATATTTTGAAGATGAATAAAGGTTTCCCAAATTTTTCAGTGAAGTTTGGCTTTTCACAGTGGTTTAGGGAATTTTTTTCGACAATAGTATATAATCATCTCCTTAATTTCTTTTCGTTTTTTTTAATGCATTTATCCTTTTGTGTAATCTCTTGATGTTGGTTTGCTTTTTTCACTGATCAGGGTATTAGACAGTATCCAGCGGCAACCATCCAACAACAAGTGTCCAAAACAGCTACTGATTGTAGGCAGATGATGGCAGGGCAGATACAGAGGACCATTGCTTCAACAGGCAATGAGCAACCTCTTGAAAGAATCACAGTCATGCGTCGAGCAAGTGTGGAGGGATTGAATTCGCTGCCAGGCCAAGGTACACAATCCATTCAATATCAGAGTCAAGGGCAGGCAGTACAAAGAACTTCCTTACCTCCTCCAGGTCCAGGTCCACTCAGAGAGGAAAAACAACAAACCACTTATCCTGCTCAGGGAATTCAGCCACAGACTGTGCCAATGTTGCCGGGTCAAAGGATGGCAGTGCCTGGTGCACAATTGATGGCAAAGCAATCTCAGGGTGCGACTGTTGGTATGACTGGAAATAGCCGTCCCCCACAGAGCCTTTTGTCTAGGTCTCCACTTGTACCGCCTAGGCCTATACAACCCTCTACCGCTCAACCAGCTCAGACAACACCTCCAACAAGTTCAGTGCGAAGGCCGTCTTTAGCTGCAGAACCACCAGTAGGTTACCAGCAGTCACCGCCTCCCTATCCTCAGCAGCATAACATAAGACCTGCTCCACCCGCATACAACAGCCGACCTACATACTACGGGAACTATCCACCTCTAGCCCCAAAGCCTGCCCCAGAAATGACTGTGCAGCTTTCACAGCAGTACCAAGCTAGACAACAAATTCCTCCCAATACCGTTGCTATTGGAAGACATGCCAGGCCAGTTCCTAGCTCTCCACTCCAGCAGTCCGATGCTGGGAGGCAGAACTTCCAGCCACAAGTACCACCCCTCAACATAGCCCGGTCTCCACTGGTCCCTCCCAACTTGCCAAGTGGGCAACCGTTTTCTCATTCTCAGCAGGATGTACATGCTGGATTGACTCAGACTGCAGTTGGGCAAGATAGTAGACAATCAACCAGGTTAAAGTTCTTTTCTGTTTGTGTGAAACTCTTCGTTGTTGCAAGAGAGAATAATGGAAGAGAGAGGAAAATGCTTAGTCTAGCCCTTGGGATATGTGAATTTCACCAAAGTTATTTTTAGACCAATTTAATGCTTGAATTAATCAAAAGTTAGTTTTTGAAGAGTCAAGAAACTTTTATTCAGTGTTGTCAAGAGAGAATTCAACAGTCACCATTACAATTTTCTGCATTGTTTCCTTTGAGGCTGTTGTGGGTGGACTTGATGACGTTTCAAACGATCGATTAAATTGTGCAGACGTCTCTGGAATCAGACTTCCGTTTAATTACAACTCTAAAAATAACTGCAGTGAAATTCACCTAACCAGGCCAATGCCCTCTGTCCAATTATTCTCTCTCACTTGTTTTCATGTGATTCCACTCTTTTTTCATTCTGTCCACCATCAAAGTAGTTATTAGTATGATCAATAAACCCCACTGTTCCCCAATAGCTAGGCTTGTTGCTACCTTGGTAAGCGTCTTCCATGTTCAACTTAGAATATAATCCCAATTTCCCGAACCCTCAGTTTGATTACTGATTAAACTGCTAAACCCTCAGCTAATTACCAATGATTCGGACCAAATCTAACTCCCTTCGCCAGTCAAACACTGTAATTTTACTCCAAGGTTTTCAAAACCTCCTGATAATTCGAACCACTTTTCTTTTCCCAGGTTGTTGGAATAATCGGGATTCCACTGTGATGTTTTCGTTTTTGTTTTACCTTGGCTGTTTGTTTACTTTAGTAGTCTCAACTTGAAGTTTTCTTGAATAACACTACTTCTCACTTTCCCTCTCAGCAATTGCTGCTGCTTTGTCACCTGTAACAGATTTTTTGTTTTGTTATAGGCGGCCAGAAGGCGTCGTTCTCATAGCACAGGAAGAACGAGCTGCCGACGTTGTTTCATCAGGGCTCTTAGACGGTGCAGAGGAGCAGCAAATTGTAGTGGTGGAAAATAAAAATAGAACAAACCACTCAATATACTCTGAAAATGCACGGACAACTCATGATATCCCAACAAATCAAGTTGACATTGTACAACATAGTCGTGGTGAGTTATTTGCATCAAATGCCGGTAATCCTCAAAAGCCACAGGGAAGTCACCCCTCTAGCAATGGCAGTTTAAAAAGAGACTTGAATGCACACATGATGCATGAAACGGTCGAGGAAAATCTCAATGGCCGAAGAGACAACAGTATCGGCGGTGATTGTGGTCCTGCAAAGAGACCGAGGCTGGAGAAGAGAATGTCATCGCTAGAAAGTGAACTGGACAACTCGACATCTGTACCCTCTAGGACTGGCAGTCCAACGCATCTTGTCAATGGTGACATCAAGGGAGATCCAAGAAATAAGCTCATGGATAAACTCTTGGACAAAGATCTTCGGTTGCCCCTGAATGGGGTTTGCGGTATTGATGCTTCTGACTTGGACCTTTTGGCTTCTGATGGAGAGAGACTCAGCGGCAGCAAAGCTTCTTCGCCAGATTTGTTCGGAAGTGAAACAAACTCGGATTTCGGGAAATATCTGGAGGAAAGTGATACTGACACGGGGCTGTTTAGTGATGTCCTACAAGGAGATCTTAGAATTGATCCAATGGAGAATGGCACTGAAGGAACTCACCCTGTACAATCGTCAAAGATGCCTACTTTTACTGAAGCACCTTTTCACGACAGTGGTAATGTGCTAAATGTAAAAGGAGCTTCTTCGGTCGTTACAGAACAACAAGGAAAAATTCCAATTCCTCCCTCAGTTAGATCAGATACACAAAGACTTCACGAAGGAGCTGTCAATGTTGCTATCAGTAGGAATCCATCTGCCGTAAATTCTACTTGGAATGCTACAAACACTGTTTCTCAAACGTCAAAACTGGGATATGTTAATCAACGACTTGCTCCTGATGTTCAGCAGAGATTGCCTGGTTACTCACAACAGGGTCTCACGCCGCAGCATGTAGGTATTAGGCCGCCTTTGGATAATATAAGCAGCACAGAGTCTCAGTTAACAACAGTCGCGAGTCAAAAGCGTGTTTTTCAACATCAGAATATTCAGTCTAACCCGCAGCGAGTGAGAACTGCTCAGGAACCCCCAGCTGTAATGAATCGATTTGGTGCGCTTCAAAATACATTGCCTGGGTCACACGGTCCTAGTACCATTAACAGTATAGCTCCTGGGATTCAAGGATCAGGCGTGCAGCAGCCTTTGTCAGTACGACCTCCTTTTCAAGGAGCGCCCTCGATTCAAACGTCTTTACCAAGAGTGAATGCTGATTCCAGTGGAGGAATTCAGTCAGTTGCTTGGGCACAGACTGGAGTTCAACAACAGCTAGGTTTAGTGGAAAGAAATTCGCAACGGGTTGGGCAGGTTGTTTTACAGCAGAATGCTGTAGCTGGAGCACAAGTACCTTCTGGACCTCCAAACGTTTCGCTACCTTCGGGGTACCAGCAAAAAACTGTGAATGTTTATCCAGACATAAGGACTCAAATTAGTGCCACTCCAGCTTCAGTCATGTACGACACTACTTCTGCATCTCAGAGTAGACAGCAGCCTTCACAATATCAGCAGACTGTGCAGCCTGGGGTGCAAAACCCAGTAGCGGCGGCGTCCAATCCAGTCATAGCTGGCTCACAGGAATTTCCTTCCACTCTACCTGCAAAGGGACACCTGTCTGACTCTGTTGTACCTCCAGTCATGTCATTTAAACCATACAGATGTCGGTGGGCTACTTGCTTCAGGTAATGCGTTTATAGAGGTTGGGGCAAACAGATGATTAATTCTGCCAATACAAGAAATTGCCGTGGAACCTGTTTATTCTAGACAACAGAAAATACAGAACTTTTAAGTCTACAAGACGATTGCCTGTATTGGTAACTTTTTAATCATGAGTTTGCTTCATTGTTCTCTGCCTGTAATCTGATTGTTTTAGTCGCTCTGTAACTAAGGCGCAGATGACGATGGATGTCAACGTGGCGGACTATCCAACGATTTGTCTTGCACAAACACTAGCGATATTTTTTTAGCGCGTTAAGATATGCGTTTGTTATTCAAGAGGAAAAAATGATTCTATATTATTATTCCATTGCTCCTGCTGATGATAAAGATATCACAAGGGGTAAAAAATGCAGCGACTTGATTTCTTGCAGTGCGGTAACTTTTTTGGCCCCGTGATGTAGTCACCTCCAGGTTGTGCGGCGTGTAGATTTCTAGGCAAATAAATACTTTTGAAGTATAATAAGGCATATTTTATTCCAGCAAAAGCACAGTGAGCCATCACCAGTTCCCAGTACTCTACCGCCGCAGGCAGCTCCAGCTCAGCACCAGCCTCCCCCGGTCCAGCCTCCTCCTCAGCCGCAGGCTCCGCCTCCAAATCAGAAAACGACCTTTGTACCAGCCTATCACTTTCTAGCTCGGATGCTTCAATCATTTCAGGTAAAAGCAGTTTAGAGAGGTTATTTCTTTAGGTTTATATAACGAACTTCAGTTTTCGTGAGCTCAAAAAGAAAGCATTGAGGCCCCATGTAACACGAACTAGGCGAGAGTCGTGTTTGTTTCTCGTTCCTTGTCCAATTTCATCTTTACACTCCCCTTCTAGGCAGTTAGTGGCAAAGTTGAATTTTTGGAAGTGTTGCGAAAACTATCGTTTGTTAAGTGTCATTTTGTGAGCTTTTTTTTCTGTCTTTCGAATTTTCCGATTGACTTGACAACATTTGGCGACAGCAGGTGCTCCAACACCAAGGCAGCAGTTTGCATGTAATTCGTAATGTCTTATCATACTTGTTTACATTATTAGGGCGAGGAAGAGACACCACTGACTAAGACAGTAAGACTAACTGCAGCGCTTGTCCTTAGAAACGTCGCTCAATACTCTGCTTTGGCGAGAAGGTACGTTTGTTTTCGGCAAGAGTTTTAGCCAGAAAGGTGTCCAGCCTTCCTATGGACGCCCATTTTTGGAAGAATGCAAGGAAAATCCACTTAATCTCTTATAATTTTATGGGGAAACATGCCTTTGGACGGCCAGTTTTCCGCAATGTCTGGCTAAAAGCCTGGCTCTCAGTATTTAGTGTCCCCTTATTCATCCAATCTATATCATCCCCTAACAGACCTTCTCGCTACCATGACAACTTAATATGGAGTCTATTGCAAACTTTTCACGCAGATGCAGGTCGATCACTACGACCTAGAGATTCACTCTCACTCTCTTAGTCTTAAATTTGCCTTTTCACTTTGTCAATCGATATGACACAGAGGGTGCTTCTAATTCTCAGATCTGGAGACCAAATCCTGTGATGTGACCTTTCAGCTGAAACCTTTTAGCAGTACTTTCACTTGAAAGCTATATGTTTTCTCTTTGTTTGCAATAGAGATCATAATTATGTACAGTAATTGACCTAATAAATGCCCGGGGGGTCTATTTAATTTCAGGGGTCCAAGCGGGGGCGTTTTAATAGATAAGAGGCGTTTAGAAGAGAGAGGCGTTTATTCTCATAACTGTAACAAGCTAAAAAAAACTAATACTGTATGCTTTCGGCAAAAATATCAAGAGAGTTAAAAAAAGAGCGGAATATCCACTCCGTCCATTGATATGTCTAGGCCGTCTAGAAATCAATGTCGCTCTTTCAACTCTCAACAACGATGTCAGAATCCTCGCTCAGGGTTATTGTGTTGCCATCATTAGTCTATTCTTACTTTGATTTTGATATTGAACAAGATGAAATACGGAAACCCTTGTTTATCAAACAGGAAACTGAATGAATTGTTCGTTTTTGCTGATTGCTAGTATTTTGGAGTATTTCTCACAGGAGGCGTGTATCAGACAGGGGGCGTTTATTTAGAAGTGGGCGTTTATTTTTTGCATCAATTTGTCACGGTATATTCTGCACACTTTTCTTATACATTTTGGGTGTACCCTGGATAAACATTTTTAATGTTTTGACTCCATTTGCACCCTCTCTAACGGTTTTTTTTTGTTCTACCTGCAGTATGCTGAGACGACACGAAAGTCACTTGTCAATTGTGGCCATGTCAAACTCCGAAGCTGCTCATGCTGTAGCCGCCTGTCTTTCGGAGTTGTCTCCCCACAGAAAAGCCTCTTCCAGTGACTCGAACACCTTCATTTGGGCGCTAGAGAGATAACAGTTCTGGACTACTTATTAGGGAATTTAAGCAACGACGTTTTTGAGCGACACACGTCAACCGGAAGTGGAGGTTAAGCACTCTTCGGCTGTGATTTTTTTGAACTAATTCTCGGAGTTTAGCACAATTAGGAATCCAAATTTGGTAGCGTTAAGGCGTATTAAAAGAAAAAAAAGGTTCACGTTCGGTTGACCTGCGTCACCGAAAAGCGTCACTGCTTAAACTCCCTAATCTCATCCTTCTAGAGAATAATATATAACAGAATATAACCCTTCATCTAGGCGCTAGACAGAGGGCAGCGCGGAACTAGCCTCTTGGATCGATCTAGAGCATTATATATAACATATTATAGTCATAACTGTCTCTGTATAGAAAATCTTCTTGTAACCCTTTTAATAACCTCTTCTAATGATTTGGACACATTCATCTTGATGCCCAAGAAGATCGATGCTCACAGGAATTTCCTTCCACTCTACCTGCAAAGGGACACCTGTCTGACTCTGTTGTACCTCCAGTCATGTCATTTAAACCATACAGATGTCGGTGGGCTACTTGCTTCAGGTAATGCGTTTATAGAGGTATAACTGACTAGATCGTCTGTTAAATGAATGAAGGTACGCATGATTTATAATTTAAATTTTATTATTGTCTACTGGAATTTCCTGTTGGCATTGTCCATGCTAGAATCTACAAGGGAAATGAGTACAAGCTTTCGGCGCAACGACGTCTGGGATCGTTTGGGCGGACAAGCGTTACTTGTGATTGGTTATTGGTTGCCTTGAATACCATCGACCAATCATAACATCGCTTGTCCACCCAAGCGATCCCAGAAATCACTGCACCCAAAGCTTTTACCCATTCTCCCTGAAGTTTCTGAAGAAGTTAATTGAAAAATATGTGGATTTCCTTTTCTTTTTTTAAAGTCATTTTTTAATAGATCTGTTTGCACTTTCCACCAAATACATGCATTTTGTCTTAGAACTTTTTCTTCAGATGTGACTCTAACACGAGTACACTTTAAGTAATAAGATATGCAGTTTATTCCATGGTAACCTTGACTTATTTTTCTCCTTAACTAGCTCGTTTGATACAAGTAAAGATCTGTTCTCGCACGTGGTAAAAGAACATGTTCCTAGAGACAGCTTGGTTTTGTCGTGTATGTGGGAAGGATGTCCGCCTGTTCGCCGCTCACGTTCCTCCCTGCTTTTTCATTTGCAGGTTAGCAAGTCAAATGTTGTTTATACGTGCGTTATTTACCAGTTAATGTAGTAAAAAATGAGGAGTCGTTCTTATACGTTAAACTGGACCACTTGAAAAGTACTAATGAATCGGATTACTGTTAAGTGGACAGTGAACAGACCTTATTCATGATACAATCGTCATCTTTGCGTAAGGACCGATGAGATAAAAGCAATGTCACGTGGTTTCTCTTGGGGCGGAGGGGAGGGGGAAGGGGGTGGGCATAACAGATGATTAATTCTGCCAATACAAGAAATTGCCGTGGAACCTGTTTATTCTAGACAACAGAAAATACAGAACTTTTAAGTCTAAAAGATGATTGCCTGTATTGGTAACTTTTTAATTATCAGTTTGCTCTTCATTGTTCTCTGCCTGTAATCTGATTGTTTTAGTCGCTCTGTAACTAAGGCGCAGATGACGATGGATGTCATCTTGGCGGACTATTCAACGATTTGTCTTGCGCAAACACTAGCGATGTTTTTTAGCGCGTTAAGATATGCGTTTGTTATTCAAGAGGAAAAATTAATTCTATATTATCATTCCATTGCTCCTGCTGATGATGAAGATATCACAAGGGGTAAAAAATGCAGCGACTTGATTTCTCGCAGTGCGGTAACTTTTTTGGCCCCGTGATGCAGTCACCTTCAGGTTGTGCGGCGTGTAGAGCTCTAGGCAAATAAATACTTTTGAAGTATAATAAGGTATATTTTATTGCAGCAAAAGCACAGTGAGCCATCACCAGTTCCCAGTACTCTCCCGCCACAGGCAGCTCCCGCTCAGCACCAGCCTCCCCCGGTCCAGCCTCCTCCTCAGCCGCAGGCTCCGCCTCCAAATCAGAAAACGACCTTTGTACCAGCTTATCACTTTCTAGCTCGGATGCTACAATCATTTCAGGTAAAAGCAGTTTAGAGAGGTTGTTTGTTTAGGTTTATATAACGAACTGCAGTTTTCGTGAGCTCAAAAAGCAAGCATTGAGGCCCCATGTAACACGAACTAGGCGAGAGTCGTGTTCGTTGCTCGTTCCCTGTCCAATTTCATCTTTACACTCCCCTTCTAGGCAGTTAGTGGCAAACTTGAATTTTTGAAAGTGTTGCGAAAACTATCGTGTCATTTTGTGAGCTTTTTTTTTCTGTCTTTCGATTTTTCCGATTGACGACATGACAACATTTGGTGACAGCAGGTGCTCCAACACCAAGGCAGAAGTTTGCATGTAATTCGTAATGTCTTGTCATACTTGTTTACATTATTAGGGCGAGGAAGAGACACCACTGACTAAGACAGTAAGACTAACTGCAGCGCTTGTCCTTAGAAACGTTGCCCAATACTCTGCTTTGGCGAGAAGGTACGTTTGTTTTCAGCAAGGGTTTAGTCAGAAGGGTGTCCAGCCGTCCTATGGACGCCCATTTTTGGAAGAAATACAAGGAAAATACACTTACTTAATCTCTTATAATTTTATGGGAAAACATGCCTTCTGGACGGCCAGTTTTCTGCATTGTCTGGCTAAAAGCCTGGCTCTCAGTATTTAGAGTCCCCTTACTCACCCAATCTTTATCATCCCCTAACAGACTCACTTACTACCATGACAACTTAATATGGAGTCTATTGCAAACTTTTCAGAGATGGACTTTTGAAAAGTTTGCGGTCATATGGGATGATCCAGATTAGGATCAGTGATCCGAGGTCAGTCGACCATGATACATCAAAGAAACCGTTTAATCCTTTCCCAGGTTATATTCGTCGGTTCCTTTGATGGCTATGATCCGAGTGATCTCGCATCACTGATTCTGATCCGAATGCACCATTAGTAGCCCTACCCGGCTACGGATCATGTTACGTTACCAGGGCCGCTTCCGTTGAAGCGTAATTGATGCATTGCGCTGATGCAGGTCGATCACTACAACAACTTAAGTTTGCTTAAACCTAACCTGAGAGTTAGGCGCACCTAGAGATTCACTCTTACTCTCTTAGTCTTAAATTTGCCTTTTCACTGTGTCAATCAATATGACACAGAGGATGCTGCTAACTCTCAAGTCTGGAGACCAAATCCTGTGATGTGACCTTTCAGCTGAAACTTTTTAGCAGTACTTTCACTTGAAAGCTATAGGTTTTCTGTTTGTTTGGAGATAAAATTTGGGGGTTTCTCGAATTTGCATGTGTCATTTGGGTGGCGCCAATAGGGATCATATGTACCGTAAACGACCTAATAAACGCCCGGGGCGTCTATTTAATTTCAGGGGTCTAAGCGAGAGGGGCGTTTATTTTCATAACTGTAACAAGCTCAAAAAAACTAATACTGTATGCTTTCGGCAAAAATATCAAGAGAGTTAAAAAAAGAGCGGAATATCCACTCCGTCCATTGATATGTCTAGGCCGTCTAGGAACCCATATCGCTCTTTCAGCTCCCAACAACGATGTCAGAATTCTCGCTCAGGGTTATTGTGTTGCCATCATTAGTCTGTCCTTACTTTGATCTTGACATTGAACAAGATGAAATACGCAAATCCTGGTTAATCAAACAGGAAACTGAATGAATTACTCCTTTTTGCTGATTGCTAGTATTTTGGAGTATTTCTCACAGGAGGCGTGTATTAGACAGGGGGCGTTTATTTAGAAGTGGGCGTTTATTTTTTACATCAATTTGTCACGGTGTATTCTGCACACTTTTCTTATACATTTTGGGTGTACCCTGGAGAAATATTTCGTCAAAATCTTTAGTGACATTTTTGATGTTTTTGACTCCATTTGCACCCTCTTTAACGGTCTTTTTTGTTCTACCTGCAGTATGCTGAGACGACACGAAAGTCACTTGTCAATTGTGGCCATGTCCAACTCCGAAGCTGCTCATGCTGTAGCCGCCTGTCTTTCGGAGTTGTCTCCCCACAGAAAAGCCTCTTCCAGTGACTCGAACACCTTCATTTGGGCGCTAGATAGATAACAGTTCTGGACTACTTATTAGGGAATTTAAGCAACGACGTTTTTGAGCGACATACGTCAACCGGAAGTGGACGTTTTGCACTCTTCGGCTGTGATTTTTTTGAACAAATTCTTGGAGTTTAGCACAATTAGGAATCCAAATTTGGTAGCGTCAAAGCGTATTAAAAGAAAAAAGGTTCACGTTCGGTTGACCTGCATCACTGAAAAACGTCACTGCTTAAACTCCCTAATCTCATCCTTCTAGAGAATAATATATAACAGAATATAACTCTTCATCTGGGCGCTAGACAGATGGCAGCGCGGAACTAGCCTCTTTCTAGCTAGATCTCGTAATATATATTGTATAATATCAGTATTGACAGAGACATATCTTTTAGAAGAACATTGGGAAAATTATTGGAGAAGATTACTAAACCTGTGTAAGTAGAACTACGGGTTCTTCTAGCTTCTAAAAAATCAACAGGGTCTGACAAGCGTACAATTTTGTCTGACACGTACACAATTTTCTACTCACTTGTCCCTAGTTAAGTCCACAGAAACGGTAGGTAGCTATGGAAGGAAACTGAATATGTGTGGTCAGAATGGAACAACCTAAGGACTAGTTTAATTTCTTCGATTTTGACAGAGAGCATTGTCGTCAAAGTAATTGCTGATACGTCGTATTTTCTTTACATATGATTGAAGTGAGTGAGTCGTATGTCTTTTTTGCGCGCAGACGTTAGAAGGTTAGGCTGCTGAAAAATGTTAGTTGCTCAGTGATTCTTTAGTCGCCCCAGTTGTTATACTGGTTGGAAAATACTTTACATCTGATCACATGCAATAAGGGGGTTTTCTTGTTTGTAAAAGGTTGGACATAGGTTGATAAGATAATGGTATACGTTAACACACAATCAGATGCACTTACCATAAGTACAATGAGCAGAACACTTAGCCTGAATTGCAAATTTATTCAAAGATCTTAAGCATGATTAATATAATTATTTTGTACAGTACTCTTGTGATATAGATCTTAAACAGTGTTTCCACAAAACGCACCAAAATGGTGCGTTTATTACCAATCCGTGAAGGTTTATTGAGATACAGATTATCGAGTCAGTCTATGCCAAAATAAAATTGTCGGGATAATTGACGAACTGTTTTTACGGCCACTCTGTTAGTTTAGTTGGGCACTGAGCGCGAATTTGCTTGCTCATATTTTCAAAGCGGTTACACATTCATGTTTGTATATAATCATTTTGCCTTATTTATACGTGGTAACATAATGTACAGAGAGTACAAACGTTGTGCTTTTTTCGATTAAGAACTTGTCGCCGGTTGTCGGATTTCCTGTAGCCTTATTTAGATATTTAAATACCGAAATCCTACACACGGTGTCAATTTTTTACGCCGTTCATGCCGTTACAGTGGAGTAGTATCGCTTTACTGAATAAAGTTTTGTACCATCAAGATTTGTGGTTTTGTTGTCCATTTCAATACGATTCGGAGTGAAATGGCTTTACTTTGTTTCTTTTCTGTTTTAATGATGGAAGAGATAGAAATCTCCAAACTTTGTACATCCTTGGAGCCCATGATTGATTGGTTCGTTATTTTTGACTGAGCGAGTAAACTAGACTATCAAAACAGCGAGTTACTCTCTTAGTCCCCCACCCCTCCCTCCTCGACTAGCTGTTCCTAGTCTGTTTTCAAGGCTTCATTTAGTGGGAACGGTGGACGTCATATAGTGGGATGGGAAGTCACCTGAACATTGGGCGTTTCTGGGGGAAAGGTGGTAAGAGAGAAACGGAAAGGGGAGACAGCGAAGAAAGACTTCCCCTCTCTCTCTCTCTCTCGCCTCCCCTCTCCGCCCTATAAAATCTCTTCTGCCCCAATCCCTAAGGAAGGCCTGATACTCAGGTTAGGTGTCGACCTCTTTGAGAGTGGAGCCTGCCTTTTTTTGGCCGCGGAGCGGCCAATTCGCTCCGCAGCGGCCGACCGTATGAAATCTGACGAACGACTTTTTTGAAAGTCTAAGGCTAGGTGAGAAGAAATGGAAGAAAGCAGCGTTAAAAGTTTTTTTTGTGGTCTGTTCGCTAGTTCTTCAACAGAAGACCTGACAACCATCACAAGTAGCACGCGAGCAACTGCTTTGCCGCCAGAGAGGGTCGGGGAGAGAGAAGCAGAAGGGACCGGGACGAGATGTGATTAAGCCCGCGATTGTCCAGTGGTAACTCAAAGCAGAACAAAATGGCGGCTGGGTTTAGCGGAGCATTACAACTTACAGATCTGGACGATTTTATTACTCCTTCGCAGGTAAATGCTTATTGTACACGTACAGTCGAAGTCGTAAGTGGTGATACAACACAACTGTGTTTTTTTTTTTCAACTGCAGGAATGCATTAAGCCTGTTAAAGTAGAGAAGAAACCAGGCCAGGTAAGATATGTCGTACTATAAATTCAGTTTTTAATGTTAATAATTTCCTAAGTAAAATGGTATAAACTGTGCCTCGCTGAGATGGGGAGACCTTTCTGAATAATTTGAGACAGAAAAGGGAACAAGTCAGACGCTGGAGGAAACTTGCAAATTAAAATGAAACGTCATCACTAAGGCTCCAGGTATCCTATATCTCCTCATCAGATGACGTGGTTGTGAGGTTCCTACGAAAGACCCACAATGGGCTATTTCACTTAATATCCGCACCCCTCGGTTGAGGAACCATGGAATTCTCCAGGGGTAAGTTATAAAAATTGAGGATTTCTTTAGGGGTAGAGTAAAACAATTATTGAATTCTCTGGGGGTGAAGCTTTAATTTTCACGAAATTCTTCAGGGGTAAACCCATATTCTTCAGGGGTAAGCCCACATTTTATTGAAGTCTTCGGGGGTGAAGGCAATTTTAGCCAATCTTCAGGGGTAAGAAGAAAAGGTAAGTCCTCACTGGGGCGGGAGGGTCGGGTTCATCTGGATATTAAATGCAATAGCCCAATATTAATAATAGCCCACCATAGATTCTATTACAGAATTCATTATTTATTTGAAAATTAACTCCTTCAGCCATTGCCAAGATCAGCTTCCTTTCTTCATTCCTGTGTACATTATGAACTTACAGTGAATTCACTTGTGAGGTATATTTAGTTAAAATTTCTGTCGTCTCAACTTACATATATATGTAGTTTCACTTTTTACTTGATGTAAGTGTAAAGGAATTTTAATGGCTGTATTTATACCTGAAGACATTTAATGCGCTTTGATTTTATTTACCATCCATGGCAGTTGGCAAAGATCAAGATTGAAGATGATGGTAGTTATGTTCAGTTGTCAGAGGTAAAAATATCTAGCTTTCTCTCCTTTAAGGATGTGCTTTAAAAGTAATTTTTCAACAAATATGCTGTGAGTGATCAGATATAGTTCATAAATTGTGAACCTGGTTGATTGTGATGTATATGTCCTATATTTACAGAGTAAGAAAACTTCTTACTTCCCTTTGTACAGTGGACAAAATTGTTTAATAATTAGTTGTCTTTTAAACTGTAGCCATCTTGTGAAATTTTTTTCATTGCCTGGATCATATACTTCATATTAAGATCTGAATGCTCATAAAGATTGTTTCTTCTTAGGGCGGCGAGAAAACCAAGCTTCAAAGAGCCCAGATTACCTTGAACGACTGTTTGGCCTGTAGGTATGCAGCATTGTATTAAGAAAAAGCGTCAAGAAAAAGTGGAAAAACTGTAGTGTAATAAATGGATTTTGTCTCAAACAGGGTCACGGTTTGAAAGCTTTGGTAACACACCCCAACCCATTACTTCCCTTCAGTGCCCCCCTCCCCCTCCCTAGAACCTGGTATTCAGTCATCATGCAACTTATAATCTAACATTTGTATATAAAATTGTCTGTTTCTAGTGGCTGTATAACATCTGCAGAGAGTGTTCTGATCACACAACAGAGCCAGGAGGAGTTGTACAAAATTATAGCAAACAACCAGAAACTTGCCAAGGTACTTTATGGTGGATAAACAACAACAAATATTCAAAAAGTGAAAGGACTTGTTTTTGCCTGATGGATTCAGGAGCAAATTATTGGGTGATCTCCAAAAAAATTATTTTTTTTTGCGATCCAGGAGGTATTGAAACTCATTACAGAGTTCTCTGCAAAAAGAGCTGCCAAAGGCACAGGTTTTAAAAATTGTTGTCTTCTTAGGCTATTTTGCTTAAAACAGAGCAGTCAATCAAGTTTCCCTTGCAATATATGGTTTGTTAAAATGAAACCTACAAACTGGGTCTTTTGATTATTTTGCACAAGAGTCATCTCTGTACTGAGTGATAAAAGAAAACTCGGCAAATTCCAGCATTTCAGTAAGAGCAGGGGTGTAGCTAAGAGCCAGATGCTAGCTAAATGCATCGGCTTAAGGAGAGGTTATCACCGGCTCAAATTGCTCTGGTAAAGTAAGACATAAATTTGCTGTTGAGTGAAAAAGCCAGCAATATAAAAAAAAGACTGCTTAGCGTTTTTAGCTGTTTCCCAATTTTCAATATGATTTTATTGTTGTAATTTAGCCTTATACTTTTTTATATTAATACTTCACAGTGATTAGTAATAATACCGTAAAATTCCGAAAATAAGCCCTGGCGCTTATGTTTTTCAAAGGCCCTTTTTGAGGGGCTTATTTTTGGAGGGGCTTATACTCGGAGGGGCTTATGAACGGACTGGAGGGAAATTTGTGTTTCAAAATCGATTGGGCTAGCTTGTAGTGGGAAGGAAATTTACCATTTTTGCTTTGTTTTCACTTTGTATTCGAGGGAAAATTCCAAGTACAAGCCCCCCAGGGGGCTTATATTCAAAGGGGCAATTTAACTGTGGGTTTTTTGCGTTACAATTTTGGGGGGCTTATATTTGGAGGGGCTTATACGTGGAGGGGCTTATTTTCGGAATTTTACAGTATGTTGGTCACTGACCTCTGTGCATACATCACATCTGGTTGGTTGTTTAAAGATCAAAATGGTCTCCACCAAGTCTTATCATTCTATTTTAACACTAGGATGGAACTGTTGAAGGACAGAAAGTCATTGTAGTTTCAGTATCCCCTCAATCACGAGCTTCTGTTGCAGCTAAATTTAGATTGAGTGTTGCTGAGGTATGTCTTTTTAAGAACTATACATTTCTGATTGAAAATAAGTTTAAAGCACAGAAACAAATAATATTAAAACTTAAGTCAATGTTTTGAAAACCTCATAATTTGTTGTCTTTCTTGAGATGACATTCATATTCGCCATTTTTAACATTGCCCATAATGCACCCTGTTTATGCCACCAAAAAATTTTGTGTAAGCAGTGTCTTCAATTTCTCATGGAACAACTGTTAATACCCTAGAGAAACTCAAAACAAATAATAATTATACAAAATTTGGGGGTAAACGAGGTGTACTATGGGTAATGTGGTGAATTAATTCTTGTGACTGATGATTCTGTTATTTATATAACACGTTCTACTGCTTTCCTTTGAATGTGCTAATTGCACATAGGCATCAAAATTGTACGTACTTGTTCATTACAGTTGATAAAATAAGTACCATTATTCTGCTCTAATATTTTAACGCCTAACAATCATGAGAATACAGGTACCAAATAGACAAGGGCTTTGATCATAAACAAATTATCCTCACCCATACCATGGATGGACTACAATGTGGAATGTATGTGTTGTAGTTAATTTTTTATGTCAGGTAATTTTTTATTTTCTTTTTTTTTTCAACTTCATTAGCATACATTACCATACCCAAAAACAAAAGAAAACCAAAAATAGGCCACTTGCACTAAGAGGTCACGTGACCAATGCTTCCTTTAGACAATGAGTTGGAATCTTGCTGATGCCAAAAATTGACAGAGGACATAAAAATTACCTTACACCTGAAATTTGAGAGAAAACGCATTTAAGGGAGATATTTTATGGCACTTTGATTTTTCAACAAAGTGGTATGATTTGTATTGGCCGTCATGTTGGAGGGCATACGCTTGCCCTCCAACATGGCGGCCAAAACTACGTTTTGCTTATATCTTGTTAAACGTTTGATAGTTCCGCTCAGATGTGCTGTAAACGTTCCCACATCAACTTTTCAACATTTTCCTTGAAGTTTAAGTGCAAAAATTGTGTTCAGAAAGAGGAAATTCGTAAGTTTAAACATCACATTTTGGTCACGTGACCAGCTACGAACTTACTCATTTTAAGAAAATGGTGCAGGTTTGAAAAACCAAGTCACTATTATTTTGTTTAAGATATGACCCACTAATCGTTTTTTGAAGAAAAAACCATATATCTTTCATTTTCATAGAAACAATGTCACATGACCTCTTAGTGCAAATGGCCTATTAGCTGCGATGAAAAATTAACTACAACATATGCACACTGATCTTAGGTTTTAGTGGACTAGGCAATATCTTGGATGACTAGTTTGCCAATTTATAATTGAAAGATCTTAAATCACAATTGAAGCAACTGCATGACCATAAAGAATGTCCCTAATTCTATGGAAATGACCATTTTACATTCCTTTTAAATCTACCACCAACCATGAACTTACCAGTACTTTTAATTTTCAGACAGCGAAAAAGCTTACAAAGTTCTTTAAAGACTTAGGTAAGATAAAAAGTTTCTACTTTACATCTGTTGATAGTACTTTGCGGGAAATTATTTTAGAAAGTAACCAAGCTCTTTTACTGGACTGAAATGAATCATTTTCATTCTATATTCAATGTCAAATTTCAGGTGTTGATTATGTATTTGACATCACCTTTTCTCGAGACTTCAGTCTGGCTGAAAGGTATGTAAATTGACTCTGTAGACCTAAATTGAAGGGAAAAATTACCTTAAAAATATGGGTCTTTAAAAGCATTTTTTTAATGATTAGGAATCAGATAATAAAAAAAAACTTATCTTGTATTAAACAATAATATAATACAATATTATTAGACCCAGTCCTTAAAAATCTGAAAGCAAACAATACCAACTAAAAAATACCTATTTCTTTTTTCTTTCTCAGTCAAAGGGAGTTTGTACAAAGAATGAAGGATCATCAGTCAGGACAAAAGAATGGTATTCCTATGCTTGCCTCTGCATGTCCAGGTAAGGGAAATAAAGTTTTGGAGATGATTCAATAATGCCATATTTTTTGTAGAGTTTCTAACGGTAGGATTGAGATGAACACATTGTAGTTTGATCATTGTATATGTGACAGGTCAATAAATTCAGGTTAAAATTTTTTAACCTAGGTTGAATCTCAATTTCCTTTGTCTTCTAGCCCTAATTATTTATGAATTAGCCTTATTACAGCTAGGACACAAAGGAAATTTTAACCTGAATTTGATTTTTACCTGTAACATGTATAAAATTCAAGCTCATCCTCTGATTTTTTTTGTTTCATTACAATGGAAGAAGGTATTTTGTATTTTGCTTTGAGTTGATGTTTTTAGATTAATAATCATACATATAGCTAATGTAAGGAATTGCAATAGGAGGAGACCTCGAACAGTCAGTTACTGTGGGTCCAGAAATTCAAATTCTTTAAAACATTCCCCAAGGAATACAACAGTCCTGTCAACGTGCGTTGAAAAATTGCATGAAAAAGTTATTGTTTTTCACTGTTTTTTACTTGGCAGGCTGGGTATGTTATGCTGAAAAGACCCATGGAAGTTATGTTTTACCTTACATAAGGTATGTGCAGTGTACAAACAGCACTCACTTTATAGTTCCGAGTTACACTTTACAAATCTGACTACAACAATTTCCATGGTCTATACTCTAATGGACCATCAGAAATCTCGACCAATCAGTGTTCGCCATAAAATCGCTTATATTACAAAAAGTGAGTGTGAATCAATGGCCTCCATAAAACGTCGCGTTAGGACGTTTCTCATTGAAGTCGTGCAATGAACGTCAAAGAGATGTGATAAAAAGTGTGGTGAACATGCAGGGCTGTTGTTTCGCTCATCAAAGTCGCTTTTTTTTACTTTTTCCGTTGCAATCGTTGTTGTGGTGATGCATGTGCTTGACGTTGTCGTTGCTGCCACCGTCGTCCTTGTCAAAGGTTCCGAATACTAGTGAACTCAAAGAAAACAGCTTATTCTCAATCGTAGTGCTTTTCATTTGCTTTGCATTTTCAAGGTAATTCACTTTTATCTCTAAACATCAGTTTGTCTTTTTTAGCACAACAAAATCTCCACAACAAATCATGGGCTCTGTAGTGAAGAGCCATTTTGCTGCATCTTTAGGAAAAAGGTAAACTTGCTGGAAATGAATAGGAATTTCCATCGTTCTTTGCCAGATGTTTTTACACTTTTAGTTATGAAGTATATCAAGTCAGGGATTCCTAAAGGGGATGTTTGTGTAACGCTAATGTTTCTTTTTATGGGTTTATTAACGATGTCAGCAAAGGTTTTCAGGACTACTGTTCAAGATAGCCTCCCTCGCAAATGTTCTTTTGGCTCATCACGCAATCCTCCCCAATGAACGCGTGACAAAACCCTAAGAACGTCTGCGTGGGAGGCTAGACTGAAGAGGGCACTTTGAGAAACAAACGAACAAACCAAAATGAATCATGTTTGTCAAATCAACCCAGTTTAATGGCCTTAGCGTCCACAAGTCTCCTGTAGCTCAATGATAGAGTATCTGGACTAGTCGGTAACCAGAAAGTCATAGGTTCCACTGCTGTTGGGAGCACTTGGAAATTTTCTTTAATCCGAGCCGCCTGTGTCACTGACTGAAAAATCATCTTTTTTATGTACTCACCTGGCTTAAAATTCACTATCACTAGTCTTATCATTGCGCATAAATAATGTTGTTTCGTCTCTTTTCTTTCATGAGGTATTAAGTTTTCTGTGCCTTGCCATTTTTCTCGAACAGACCTGACGATATTTACCACGTAACTATTATGCCTTGTTATGATAAGAAACTTGAAGCTTCCAGAGAAGATTTTTATAACGACATATACAGAACCAGAGATGTGGATTGCGTTATTTCTACACGTAAGTTATTGGTTAGCATACTGAACCACTCTTAATTCAGAAGAAAAACAACCACAGCAACTAAAGAAAAACAAGGGTCTCCTATGGTTGGAGTATGAGAGTATCAGTTACTTTTATCAGCCTAACTGAACATTGTAGATTGTGCATGGGTATTTGCTGGAATACAAACTGGAAATGGGAATCATTACGAAACCACGACAACGAAGGAAGTGAAACCGTTACTAACGTGTATTTTAATTCTTTCTTTTAAACTTCATCTTGATTAATTCAACTCGCTCAATGTGTCAATTTTAGCGAAATTTTCGTATGACCTTGAAATGAAAACGCCCGAGCAAAACAGAAACAACAAATGATTTGCAATAGAACAATTTTATTGGTTTATCGAACGGATACAAACCTGCGTGGCTTTTGGTTGGTTAAGCGAACGCTCGGCTGATTTTTTCCTCCTTTTTTCCCCAATGCGGAGCCTGGTCCCAGGCTAGACGCGTTCGTTGCCCTTGCCGTCGGTCCAGCGTTGTTTCGCACGCTCTTTGATGTCAGGTATAAATCCTTTAAAGTAAAGTTCCTGGACAGCAGGTGATTGTGGATGAATATGGGTTCAATTTATTGCTTCTTAGGTTATTAACTCATGGGTAATTCAATTTCTGTTTCGTAGTTGAACTTGAAAAGATGTTCGAAGAAAAAGAAGTTAGCTTTACAGAGCTCGAGAATGCGCATTTAGATAATCTGTAAGTGTACCATTGTTTTCTTGTGGTGTGACTCTTTCTTTTTCATTTTTTTCTTTTTTGTTTTTCCTTTTTTCCTCTGAAAAAGCCCTCTCTAATTTGTCCCCTTTTTTCTGTCATGTCTAAGATTCTCAAGTGTTGACGGAGATGAGCTTGTTGGCCATTCTGGCGGTGGTTCGGTAAGAGTGGTTTTTTAACCCTTTACTAAACGCTAAGATCAAACTTTAATTTCTCATTTGCTGCCCTATTCATTTCTTATAGAAGTAGCGAGGAGAACATATTCNTCTTTTTTGTTTTTCCTTTTTTCCTCTGAAAAAGCCCTCTCTAATTTGTCCCCTTTTTTCTGTCATGTCTAAGATTCTCAAGTGTTGACGGAGATGAGCTTGTTGGCCATTCTGGCGGTGGTTCGGTAAGAGTGGTTTTTTAACCCTTTACTAAACGCTAAGATCAAACTTTAATTTCTCATTTGCTGCCCTATTCATTTCTTATAGAAGTAGCGAGGAGAACATATTCAACTTCGCAGCCAAATATAAAATCCCAGCAGTATCCAGCCAGGTTGTCTGTTACAATTATCCCATTGTTCAGTTTTCCTGTAGATCTCTTGTGGGTCATTCGAACTAACGTGATATTTGAAAAGCTTCAGACTCGACTGATCATTCGGATCATTTCAGCTAACCCGACAAAGAACTTTGTGACTTTTTCGTAAATCTCAATTTGTTCAAAATGTTTAGACTCAAGAATGTCCGTATGTTTGTCCTGTTTCACTCAGGAAGAATTGTGCTGTGTTAATATGATTTCACATGTATTTCAGGGAGGTTATCTGGAACATATCTTGACTTTTGCAGCCAGAGAGGCAAGTTGTAACTTATTAGTTTGAGAAAAATTAGAGGATCGTTACATTCTTAGCAGTTTATGTATTCTTGGCCATGTTTCCACTTAACCGTAAAGAATTCCCACTTAGTAGCATAAAAACCCTCTGAAGTTTGACCACGGTTGGAAAAGATATCACGAAGCTAACTTTTTTCCATTTTCGTTTTCAATGTTTTTTAAACTTTTACAGCTACACTGAGAATCTCTGTTAAGTTAGCCTTCCACGCAGACGTTCTTAGAACTTCGTCACCCGTTCTTTCACGTGGGAAAGAGGCAGGAAAAAGGCGGGAAAAAGCGGCCGAAGCGTTTTCCTTGAACTTCTTTCCACCTCCCATCGACCCCACGCACTTTCCTTTCGCCTCTGCCTAGTCTCCCATCGGCACAAAGAGGCGCCAGTGGAGGAGGGAGTTGTAGCAAATAAAAATTCAAATATGAGAAATGACGGGATTGGATGGCATGCTCAAAAAGAACAAGATGAGCAAAGCCTCCTTGCCAAAAATCAGCCCTTTAGTGCAAATTGTTTATGCTCTGATGACTCCAATCCTTCTAAAATTAGTTTGGATCGTAATGTTTACGATCCAGGTCTATGTTGCATAAAACCTTCTTAAGACAAGAGGGCTCTTACCTCTTGTTCTGGAATAATAACCAATTGTTTTGAAATATAGTTAGGAGTTCCCTTAATCTTAAGACGTTTTTTTGCAACCCGGCCTATTTTAGAAGGATATATAATTGTGGTCATTGGAGCATAAAAATGCTTATATCTCCCCGCTAACTTACACTAACAGGCTAAATTTTGGCAAGTAAACATGTCTCATCTTGTTCTTTCTGGGTATGCCACCCTCTCCCATAATTTCACAAATGTAATTTTTGTGACGTCATCACTTCTCTTTGTTGTTCATACTCACTTGTGTCGTTTCATTAGTTGTATGGCAGAACGATAGATGATATCACTTACAAGACACTGAGAAATAAAGACTTTAAGGAAGTCACTTTACAGGTACAGCTAATGTCTTGAATTGGTTACGACCGGAACAGTTCAATGAAATTTTAATTTCCGGCGCCGTAGCCGTTGCTTTTAAATTCCACAACAATATCACACTTGTGAAAGCTTTTTTGAGTTGACTCTTGGTAGAATGATAGTAATCATCCGTTTTTACTCTCGCAAGGTGGACGGTCAAGATGTCTTGAAATTTGCAGCAGCGTATGGATTTAGAAATATTCAGGTGCGTATATTGTGCCAGTGTCACTAGTAATTTGCGCAGCAGTTAGCTAATCTTTTATAAAAAGAAACTTCTGTTATTGTTTCTTTATTCTTCATTCCAAAAACTATGAGGACGATGGGTGAAAGCTGTCCGCTCAACCATACCTGAGATTGTTTGGGTGGACAAGGGTCACTTATGATTGGTTAATGGTTGCCTTGAATACCATCGACCAGTCATAACAACGCTTGTCTACCCAAACGATCCCAGAAATCACTGGCGACAAGGCTTGTACCCATTTTCCCTGGAGCTTTTGTAGCGGGGAATTACAACAGCTCATTTTGTATGAAAGTGAATATATCAAAGTTAAACCTGTTAAACTTGTTTTGTCTTGGTAACCTAGCGTGAGATCATGCCCTTTCCTTATTATGCATGGTTATGCTTAACCCGTCTTTACTGATTATTAATTAGTATACTTTTTGTTCGTCTGTTTGTAGAATCTTGTCCAAAAACTCAAGCGTGGCAAATCTCCTTACCATTTTGTGGAAGTTATGGCCTGCCCATCAGGTATGACTCGCAATTTATTTCATTTTATTTTATTTTATTTGATCATTGGGTGGGTAACTTAAACCATTGGTGCGTATGAACGTGTATAACAATCAAAGTGAGCTTTGAATACTAGTAAAATAAACCTTTCACAGTCCCATATTTTTCCGTAAGATCGTCAAGCGCTTTGCGTTACGGCAGCCATCTTGGATGAGTTTCAAACTACTTATTAAGGGACAGGGGACGGTTTGCTAGGAAGCGTCTCCCAATTAGTTTTGACACTCATGCAAGATGGCAGCCCGTAACGCAAAGCGCTCGATCTCGACGATCTTACGGAAGAATAGAGGACTGTGGACAGTCTAGTTCTTACGGCCGCGGACGAATTTTCGACCGGCTTAAAAAACGTCACCAGATACTTTCCTCACACGGGATTTACGCTCTATTCACACGGAACTTGGCGTCTAAATTTTCGTATGCGCCCCTGTTAAAGTGGTGCCGTATGAAGAGAACACCAAAACACACGAATTTTTAACCGATCGAAAAATTGTCCGTTGCCGTGTGAAGGTTACCTTAATCAGCCTGTTAGTTCAGGTGTCCAGTTAGTGGGGAGGTGAGTAAAAAGAAATGGGCTCGTTAATTCAAGGCATAAACATTAGCGAATATCTTTCACGCACAGAACATATACAGCTATTTTGAGATAGGTTGTCGAAAAAAAATGTGCACGCAACAATCCCGAAAGGTAACATGGGATATGAACAATACTCTGTTCCTGACGACTGTAGCTGTGGAACCTACTTTTGTTGCTTTCCTTTACCACTCGCAATCACATTTCCATGGCCTTTCCTGCCAATTCTTTCAAATTTCTTTGAAAAACAGAGAACTCAAAACCACCCACAATGCCTTTCGGGATTGTCGCGTGCACTTTTTCCGACAACCTTTCTCGAAATAGCTGTAGACGAAAAAGTAAGACGTCTTTAGTCATTGGCGCCCTTAAATGCAGAAGACCGCTCATCTCCGAAAGTATTGCTCTCTAAACTTGCCAAGTGTTTGTCTTACCCTGTAGCTTTGGTTAGGGGTGAAAGCAACGTTATTCTGAATGAGCAATAGCTACAAGACTCCAAAATATGGCTGCTAAATAGGGCTGAGAAGGTGTAAATGTTTTTTGTTTGTCTTATTTACCGTTACAGGCTGTCTCAATGGAGGTGGCCAAATAAGACCTGGCGACGGGGAAACGTCAAAAGAATTGTTGAGTAGATTGGATGAACTTTATAATTCACTCAGGTATCAACTGCTAGTTGTTTTTTCGTTTGTCATTGCATTTATTGTCTCTTGGTCGTTCAAACTTCAGTAGCTCTAACCCGCTGTTACTGAGAGCGCAGGAGGTATACTTTGACACAGCTTGGACTGAATCGGTTTTGAATGGTGATAAGTTTCAAGTGGGTTGACTAAGAAATGTATCAAAAATTGTGGCACACACTGGCTTAGTTGTTGCCCTGCTTACAGCTGTGCGTACTCTTAACCTATCGCTTTTTGACCTTCCCGTTACCGTCGCCATTGCTAAAGCTCCTTACTAACGCGCGAAAGACAAATCATTACCAGGAACAGTTTCGAGGTAATCTTTATTAGTTTGCCATTTCTTTTCAGTCCAAAATGCGACACTTTTCTTTTTTTATAAACGCTAAACCGTATTTTTTTTGTTTTTTTCGTATTACAATTTTGGAGTTGGTGCTAACGTTAATTGTGTTTTCGCTTAGATCAAGAAAACCAAGTGAAAATCCAGCAGTGGAAAAGCTATACGAGTGAGTACCTACAGTAGTCCTTTCAAATTTATCTGTTGGTTGTTTACGAAAATAAAAGATAAATTATATCCAGGCTCTATTTGTATGTTGTTCTTGCCAAACTACTCTTTTTATACTTCTGTACATTTTTCAGTGAATGGCTAGGCGGGGAATCTTCTGAGAAGGTAGGAATATTCACGTCAGTTTCATGAGAAAGAGCAACTGCTGACAATTTAACTATATAGTTTTTAAAAAATGTAGTATAAACCGCCCATTTTTATTTTTTTGACTTCATTTATCGAACGTTCCTGCATTCCGCTCCAGTGAGTTGTCAGCACACAAAGTGTAGCAAGGGGCGCGATCCATTCAACCAAAATTCAGACCAGTCCGACCGGGAAAAGTGGTCCACCTCAAAATATGGACCAGTTTCTTCGAAACTTTTCCGGTTGGACCGAACCGATGCTTTGAGTTTTAGACGAAATTTGCGGAAATTTTGGTTGAATGGATCGCGCCCAAGATTAACGCTCGTGTGGAAAGTTTCATACATATCAATTTATTTTGTCACCGCAAACCTCGGGTTTACAGGAATGCGAGAACGATCCATTTCGCTGCCTTTGACAGAAGTTCTGTCGTGTCACAACTAATTCATCTTGTTCATATACTCAGGCAAGAGAGATGCTTCACACAAAATACCACGAAGTAGAAAAATTAAACACAGCACTCAACATTAAGTGGTAACTTTGGATTAAAGGTGAATGCTGACATCGTTCCGTCTCACGTGGCTTATTAGACGGAATAAAACACCGGTGATAAGACAAGAGAACTGCCTTTTTCAGATTGAACAGCGCGATTGTGTTGGGGACTGCCCGGGAGGATCCTTCTGGTACAGATAGGAAAGTGAAAGTATCGGCAGACCGACCTTTATACATCACATCATCTCGTGCTGTTGGAAGCTGGAAGCAGGAGAGGACCCTGGGAACGAGGTCAGAGTTGCCCCATATAAGGGAATCCAAGACAGTATTGGACTCTGGATTCCTTGTCACTGGAGTTTGGATTCCAGATTCAAGTCGTTCGCTAGCTTCCGGATTTCAAAAGCTGAATTCCGGATACCACAAATATGACGACCAGCACTTCCGGGAAATTCATTCAGGAAACTTCCACCAAGATTTGTCATTGCATAGGATTGCTATGTAGCTGAATTAACCTTCCACTCATGTTCAAACATAGTTAATAGAGGGAATGGTTATGAAACCCGACAAAGTTCTTTGTTGTATGTTTTTGTTCTCTTTTTTGGCCTTGACCCTGCACAAAACACAATAGTTGTTTACTCCGTACTGAGGAACTAACCAATAGAAACTTGCTGGTTACGTAATTCATGCATAACGTATGAACGCAAAACAAAAGATTGTGCAGGGTCGTGGACCTTCTAACATAAATCTTGGCATCTTTGTTTGCTCCTTTGATGTTTGCCGGGCTTCATAACCAGTCACCTCCATTAACTATGGTTCAAATAATGGAAGTTGAACGTTTACCAACAAAGAACTTGACACGTAGGGCAAGTAAACGTGAAAAATACATGGCGCTCATTTCGCTGGACCTAATTCACCTATCGGCCGTTTTTATACTTTTGACGCCTTCGGGACGTTATTAAAGCAAAAGTGGCTTTGAGCGACGCAGGTCAACCGGAAGTGACGCTACCAAATTTTTATTTCTTAGTGTCTTTACTCGCATACAGATGATTTGCCCGAAAAGTTGGTCAAAATCACTCCCCAAGATTGCAAAAAGTCCACTTCCGGTTGACTTGCGCCGCTCAAAAACGTCGTTGCGTAAACTCTGTATTCCTTCCGCACGAACTTGGGCAAACTCTTGACTTAGACTACCTTGAACATTCAATACCATAATCACTGGATTAAACGCCGGGGTGTTTGTTAAATTTTACGCTTTTCTAACGGGGTATTTATTTCAAAATCGCATTTCTTTAATCACTGACAAAAATTGCGGTAAATAATTTGTAAATACTATGTGAAACAGAAAGGTGTTTAAAGTTCCACTCTCGCCTATTGTTGCTGATATCTAGTTGTCTGAATGGTGTAGATTTCCGAGTTGTACCAAGTTTTTTTTTCTATAATCCTCGAAAAAACGCAGCATCCTTCTAACTGGGTGCAGCGATTAATCGAGGGCGGCGTTTAAAGAGTAATTACGGTAACGGTTTCCATTCTAAACATGCGAGCAATGTTAGATTGAGAATTATAAGAAAGTAAAACACCAAGCTGAACAATTTGAATTCTACTAGCTGAATTTAATAACGTCACTGACTGAAATAACTTGGTATACGATAAAATGTCCGAAGCATCAGATATACGGACGCCTATTTATTGTTGACCTCGAAGCCTTGCAATTGTACTAACACTCATAAGTAGAAAACAAATTCAACACACCCTTTATCTTAAATAACTGGGACAATTTTTCGAATAAAAGACAATAATGCGTGGATTGAAGACCCACTAGTTACTTAAAAAAGATTTTATGCTAAGCTGTAAAACTGTACTTTTGAAAATAAAGTCATTGAGTAAATCATCAATTTTCGTATATTATTTTTTAAAAAAAATATGTAATGAAATAAAATATTGTTTGCCAATGGCTGGTATTTTAAAATAAAAAATTCGTATATCAACTCCCCTCCCATCTGCAAAACAGAAAGAAATCTCGCTACCCTCAGTAACGTAAGAATTGCTAAATAGCTCTAGCTCTAAAACTTATGATGGGCGGCCAACATACTAAAATTCTATCCAATTTCTGTGCCAAAAAATGTATACAAAATATTGATAAAAAATATTCTTAACTGGAAACAGATACAGTAGAAAAGTGTTGCAAAGGTAAAAACTCTTCGAAAATTTTGAACTCGGTGTCGAGAAATCAATTAGAATACTTATGAAAAGTAGGATTTTTTTATATTATCTTGCGTTCCGGCGTTAGTTATCTTTTTCCTTCTATTTTGATACCACTATCAACATTCTGATTTCGGCCTTGAGACTGTCTCCTCAAGTGCTATGAATTCAACTTTTCTGTCCTTTAACGGCGCTTTCAGCGAAGTACGTCTAAAGGATTACTGTCAAGAGGTAATCTGTTCCAGTTTACTTGACGTAAGACAAACAGCCATATCAAGAAAATTTCAGTCTTTTTCAAGAACATCTAAACTTCCCAAAGCGTCGAAGACCATTAAATTAGAATAATTCTTATTCACCTAACTGGGTTGATGACTGTTTAGAGGAAGAGATAGACGTTTAGAAACATCTGCTAAAAGTTGGACCGTGGTGGTGGGTGTTTCTATAGGAACAACTTTGTTAATGTCTGTGAGTTTCATCACCGGGGTGTTAAACTGAAGGTGCGCCAAACTTCCAGATACTGGAGAAGAAGAGAACATTTCAACGCTGCTAAGGTGATGCATGGTTGGAAGTTGAATGGTTAAGGCTTGATTCGATGGGATTGCGTTACCCGAATTTACTGTTTGGTTTTCCGCCAACGGTTGCTGGACGTCACCCATTGTCATGCAAGGTGTCGTGAATTCAACTACTGAAGACACTTGGGACAAATCCATGTTACCAGGCTCTGGAGTAGGAGTGAGAGACCTGGGACTATACAGCAGTGGTGTGTTGACTGTTTGCCCCATTACCTTGATTAGCTGGTCAGGAGAAGGCGTGGAACTGCCCGAGGGAGGTGTGGCTGTGGCCCAAAGGACTGGCCCTCCGTTACCCGGTTGGGCAGGAATCTGAAGGAAGATAGTGTTACTAGGACACGAGTTGTTAACTTGAATGGGGCGTTCAGTGGCTGGAAGAATAGGAGTCGGCGTCAACGCGTGCGGATTGGACATGGAATTTAGTGCACAGTTGTTCTGAAATTGAATCGGCGAGGGCGTGGCAGAAGCCTGACGGGAGCTCTGTAAAGATCCAGGGTCTTTCCACGGAGACTTTAACTTGCGGTAATAGCTAAGTGGTTTAAGAGGGCTTACGTCGTCGATAAGACTAGCCTGAATGGCAACTGAAGACTGTTCTACAAGCTCATCATAAGGTAAAGGAGACGACGATTGGTGTACCATCATAGGACGGCTTGGTCCTGGGTTAGGGAATGCCTTCTCCAACTGACGTTCCATGCGTTTCCACCGTTCATCCTGTGAATCAAATCCTCGCTGCTCTTCTAACAGTTTCTGTTGTTTCTGTCTCTCCAGTAAAATCTTTTGTTCAGGAGAGGAATGATCAAGAGAAGCCTTTGGACTTGATTGTTTTGGGCTGCAGGGCGTAAGATCCTTTCTTCCATCATCAATGCTTTTGAACGGCGAAGTGGATGAATGTGAGAATCCGTTGTCGGTCTTCTGCAGGATTGTCGAAAAATCGTCGGCGCTTCGCCTTCGCTTGGGCTCTGGAGCATCTTCAAGTTCCGCTGTACCAGAGATAAACAGTGACCGCCGACTTTTTCTGGCATCAAAATCATCCGAGTGTCTGCATGCGGACAGCAGCTGTGACATTCGTGAGAAGAGTTAAAGATAAAAAGAGCCAAAAATAACTCAGAAAGGGTACATTAACTTTGCAAATGATCTCTCGGGTTGAAAAAGCCGTTAATAATCATGAGTTTGACAAATTAAGTACCGACAAATCTTCAACATCGAGAACAAGTTCTCCACTATGAACCCGCTGACACAGGTCTGGTCAAAATTTTGAACGGGCGAATTTTTCACCTGTGAAACCCGTTTACACGCTATCGCGAAAATTCTGTAATCAAGGCTGTCACTAAGATTTCAAGTTGCCAGGGAAATACAACACAGTAGGCGGGGAATCACACAGCGAGGGATTTCTTTTGGTGGGCCACGTTCATAGTAGCCGGTGAAAATCCCCGGCCCCCGTCTCTTAATGACAGCCCTGTCAGTAATGTTACATTGCTGTTTACACCAGTCCGTACAAATTTTGCCATTGTCAGCATTGGAATGGCTTTTCTTTTATCACAGGCGCGTAAATAGGCTCCAGGCGTTTACCGCACAAACTGTGTGCACGGTTCAGGTGTTTACACGTGTCCGCGTAGAGGTGGAACCGTACCGGTCAAAAATGTTCACCTACTTCTGATCAGGTCAAAAACTTGCATGGATCCTTGCAAGTGGTGTTTAAGAGTTTTGAAAGAGGAAGGTTACACGCGAGTGAGCCGCGAAGGATTGTTCTTGACCCTCGTTCCGAGTTTAATTTTCCTTCCCCTCCTGAGTATGGGGGAAATTGTTCCTTTTAGATTACAGTTTGATAAAGATAGTGAGTAAATAAGCAGGTAAATAAAAGGATATGATCTGGGTATTGCTGGTGTAGTTTTTTCAGCTCCGCGCGGAATTTTGCCTCTGTCGGGCTCGCGGCAGACGGATCAGCACCTGTCAATTCAGGGGGAAAAAAATGCCAGTTTAGTTTCTGGAAAACCTTACATTACAGTACAGTAAATATATTACAATATAACCAACATCGCCTTCTCTGAGCCGCATTTGTGCAATCTGCACCCATAAATGAACTTACCGTAAGAGGCCGTAAGTTCTTGAACTGAAAAGCCATCTTCCTCGCCACCACAATGTTTTTTAGTACCAAGAACTCTTTCTGATTGTGAACGAGGCAGCTTGCATTTGCTAGCATCTGGATCCTCTGATCTGAGCTGCTGTTGACTCGGCCTCCGCCTTATAAGGCGCCCTACAGCACCTGTCAAAGATAACACAACTTGTGTCACGCAATCCGCAAACTAGAATTTCTTTGAATTAAAATCTGCGAGGGACCGGGAACGAGTGTAGAGTGTAAACATGTCAGCTGCAAAGGATCTTTACTTACATAGACATTCTTCAAGGAATCTCACGGTAAGTGTTCCATTTTTAATCTTCAACGATTTTTTTTCTTTAGAACTTGGACTGTATGCGTGTGTTTGACTAGCAGTGCAAGATGTAGCAGTATCATATCACTCTATTTGTGGCATATTTAAAGTTCTTCACTTACTTTCTCCTTCATCAAGGCCACGGCTTTTCTCTGCGCAGATTCTCTTTACTGATGGTGGTTTTTGAATTTCATCTAAAGGGAAAATCAAACCAAAGAGTTCAATATTTAAGTACTTTATGGTACAGAAACTTCTTTCTTCTTTGTGAGGAAATTACACTACTTCTCGGGACTTGCAGTTTACAATAATTATTTTACTAAGGAGTGGCAAATTCCATGAAGTGCAGATGCAGATGCAGACATCCTTTTGGCACATCACACAATCATGAAGCCTTCCAAACATTGGGGAGGATCGTGCGATGAGCCAAAAGGATGTCTGAATGTGAAGCCATGAGGGGGCAGGTGGGGCTGGCCTGGGTGCCAGGGTGACTTTTTTGTAGGGTTGGAACATTGTGGACGCCCATACCCATAATTTTATTCCTATGGCCATGGTGCAACAAAGGTGCTGTCCAGTAGCCTGCACAGGCTAGTAACTTGCCTGAAGGGCAAGTGTTTTGTAAATTTTCATCTTCGATGTCAACTGATGGTACATATGTACATGTCATTACAAAAGAACAAACTTAAAGGCCATTGTGGCATCACAGAACCAATAATCTCTCTGCAAGTTTAAACAGTTTAAACAAGTGGAAAATGTTGGTTGCTCACTCTTAGGTTTCGACTATAGTGCCTTAACTGAGAACTTTTTTATTTCTGGTTTTGAAGTTCAACAGCAAAGCTATGGCAAAAGGAACAGATTTTTTATGCGTGGTATACTTACCTTGGGTATAGGCCACTAGTTCAAACTTGTCAGGGTCAATTCCTATCCATCTAAAACCAGGTTTCCTTCCGGTCTGAATGCTATGAATATGAACTTTTTCTATAAGCTGGAGACTTGACAAAATGTTGGCAATATCATAGAGTCGTCGAACTTTGGCTGTTGAGGAAAATAGTTTTGTTATGAACATGTTTAGGGTTCTCCTTAAGTGATACAACTGGGGTAAAAAGATAGTTCCAAATTGACACTAATTAAGTTCTTTGCATACTCTTAAGTGGCATAGTAAGTACTGCAAACAAAGATATCAGATCATCCATCTAGTAGTTGCCCACGAGAGATAAAAAAAAAATGGGAAATTTTAAAACCATCAACCCAAAGAGTAGTTGTTATTGCTTACAAAAGGTTCGAACTATGAGGCTTTGACTTGGAACATTTTGGTGTTTTGGATAGGTGGTTGTTATGAGTGGTGGATGTTTACAAGAGGTGGTCGCACATGGAGGTTTGACTTTATTTGATTAAAGGTGAGTAATGGTTAAAAACATACATCTACAAAAAAAAGTCTAAACTGATTTGGCTGTTTAAATTATCTTACTTTTATACTTTGTCTGGCCTTCTTCTTCATCTCCTATCAAGACATTGGCTGCATCCTCCAAAGTTACATATCGATTCTGATTGAACCAAAGTGACAATTCTGTTTAACCTTTGTATCATTATTAATTTTTTTTGTCATTGTAAACATCTCTTGTTATTAGTATAGGTAACAGCATGATTTGTAGCGATATTTGGCATAAATACCACATGCCATGTTTCAAAATTATTATGAGTAATTTCACGAGCCATTAGGCGAGTGAAATTTGAGACAATTTTGAAATATCACAACTCAGCGTGCAAAGAAAGTAGTGTCCGATAGCCCGGGGCTAGTGGATTTTGCTATCGGGCTAGTGAAATCTGTTTTTAACTTGCCCGACGGGCAAGTTATGTTCTTTGAGGAATTCGAATAACAGAGGAAGTGTGAAATCAATTCTGCTCGATGAAAAGCTTTTGGGGCTAGTTGAAATGACGTCTGGGCTAGTAAATGCTAGCTTCAGCTTGCCCGAATGGCAAGCTGTAAAAATGATTTTCTTTGCACCCTGGGTCTTTATGCCAAATATCACATACATACAAACAATATACTACTACCCCAAAAAGGTTTGTAATTTTCACATGTAGGTATTTCAAATTAAGCTGAAATACCACTGCTCTAAGCCAATCAAATTGCACACATTTATCATGTAGTAGTATAACATATGAAATATCATGTGGTGAATAATAACATGTGAGCTTGACTTCACCTCAGAAACAAGAAACATCATTAGGAATTTTTGACTGAGCACTCCTAGGGACTTGTCTTTCCTGCAGTACTCACTTATGTTTTCTGCCCAGAAATAATAAAAACACAGTAAAAAAGAAGTTTAGTGACAAATTTGAAGGTGAGGCAAGCATGAACCTTAAGAAATGCAAAGATATTTTCAGAAGCACATTCTTTCAAAATCATAAAAAAATTGTTGCATTAAATCTTCACTGGAAATGCAATCCACAAAATAAATGCACTTGTTTTCGCTTTTATTTATGGACAAAATCAGTTTAAAAAACCTAGTGTACTCACCATGGTATGACTGTCTGGATATCAAAGAACTCACTCCTTATCATAAACTATTATGTTTCTTTAAAAAATAGCCCACACTCGATATATCAAAATAAATAAGTGACTCTGATGCTTTGTGGTCATGTTTCTATATCTGGTTTTCTCTGTTCTCACATCTGGTAATCAGGGGACAATAGAATCAAGAAAAACTTGCAAATCTCTTTGTTAGGCCTATGAATAAGTCATGTTCAAATTTTGAAAATCAAGCATTAGCTATTAGGTAAAGAATTGAAAATGTTGCGTAAATGTACAATGCCAAACTATTGTTATGGAAGCAAATTTAAGAAAAGAATTTGAAAGAAAATGCATGATTTATAAGCAGACTAAGAGTAAATGCTAATCTGTTAAATTCTCAAAGACATTTTTATACCTTTGTACTTTGGCTTTTTGTTGGTGCTTTCATCTGCTGCAGTGTCTTGCATGGGTGGTGGTGGCATAAGACTTTGATCCACTCCTACTGTTGGAGTTAGGGAGTGGACAAGATTCATGACATTTGTATCCTTTGGCAGAAGTAAAGGCAATTTGGAAGATAGTGGAATGATTGGAGCCTTCTTTGCCTGAAATATGCAATATGTTATATCAACTCACTTGTTAGCTTTTTAAAACCTACATCTGTTAATGTACATAGGTTGACCTGGCTGTGTGACATGCAGAGCAACACAGGGTTTTATCTAGAAGGTGGCTGTTGGCAAATTTTACCAGCTAAAAATGAGCTTACACCTGATGCAAATAACACAGGAAAACAAAGACATAGGGTAATTTTTAAGTTGAAGTTAAGTAAAAAGCTGGCTAGACTAACAAAAATCTTAATAAGCCTGCCTACTTAGCTTTTCCTTAGGTACATCCTTGATAACAATGCAAACACTTGAAGGGGTGGCAGGAGTGAAGTTCTCATGAGCAACTCCTAATGACATCAAAATTTAATGAAGGAGTATGTGAAATGAGTTTAAAAGGCTCCTTTGTCAGATGTCACGGGTGAATCTTGATTTGCTATGGTTGCCTCAGAACTTAATGACACTGCTATGAGCAGATGTCCAATTCTCCCTTTGACTCACAATGAAAACTGCTCAGAGAATCTAGGGTTTTTGTTGGATGTCAATCAGGGCTCAATTCCACACATCCCTTAGAGTTTGCCCCTTGGTTACAAGCACCACAAGGAAATTTAGAAGAAGGATCCAGTTTGGGGCTCTTTTTCAAATCAGTAACAAGTTAAGCAGCAGTACATAGTATGTACAAAAATCAGTTACCTTTTCCTTTTTGGGTTTGGGGTTTTCCTTCCTTGAAGGTGAAGGCTTCAACTGAAAACCCTGTGACACAGCATAATTCTGTGTGTAACAAAAAAAGTTCCAGTAATTTAGTCAAAATTACTCCAGGTATATGATATATGCCCCATTCACACCAACTAAACAGGTTAAAAAGTGAAAAGCAATGATGGAAAGTTGGAACTCAGATTTTTACATGTACACGATATTCAAAAAAATTTAACTTACTCTGTAATTTGCACATAATTTGCAATAGAAGAAGTCCGTAACCAGCTTTTATGAAGAAGACAATTTTGAACCATGTTTAACTAAACAGCTTTTAACCATGTTTAAGCTTTGGTGTGAATGGGGTTATAGATACCAGTACCAGAAAGCTACAAAAATTCAACCAACATGCTGGGTAAGTTACTGTCATGCCTGTCACACACAGTTTGACATCTTCTTTACTATGCCATCCTATTGCAAAGTTCACTACGTTTGTCATGTTAACTTTTGCTTAATGAAGTAAACTCATTACATATGTGTCTAAATTACCTTAAGTTTCACTAGAGTAGTGGGTAGTCTTGATTTCCCATGCCAGACATATCTGTTCTTTGCATATCTGGTGATTACTTCTACACTTTCCAGTACATTAACAATGTCATATATACGTCTTCTTTCTACACCTACAGAAGATTTCAAATAATTTGTTAATTACAAGTACATATATTACTTAAACTGTGGCATTTTTACCTCAGCTTGTTTTTGCAGCAAAAAGTCCATCGAAATTTAGCCGGAGAAATCTGCGTAGTAGCCGGAGAATTCTCCGATCTCCGATGCCTAATGAACACCCTGGCAGGTACACATGTCCAAGGAAGGAGGGAACGTTAAAGTGGAATGATGTACTACTGATAGTATACTTTCAAATGAAGCATGTGTGTGTTAGACGGGAAATATTTTGCGGAAGATCACACCCTTGAAGTTCCCAAACTAAGGTAAAGCCAAAGGTATCCTGATGAACATGGTCAGGGTGCAAAAAAAATCATTTTTACAGCTTACCATTTGGGCAAGCTGAAGCTAGCATTTACTAGCCCAGACGTCATTTCAACTAGCCGCAAAAGCCTTTCATCAAGCAGAATTGATTTCACACATCTTCTGTTATTCAAATTCCTCAAAGAACATCACTTGCCCGTTGGGCAAGTTAAAAACAGATTTCACTAGCCTGACAGCAAAATCCACTAGCCCCCGGCTATCGGACACTACTTTCTTTGCACGCTGATGGTACACCTCCCCATCATGGATATGTCTCTTGGTATCAAGGATACCAAACAATATTTACATGCAATTTCTAGCTCTGTAAAACAGGCATCTCTGTAAATGGGCACTTGGCTCTTTAGTTGCATTAAGGAGGTTTGACTGCTGAAGTATCACTTATAAAGTGCTTGTTGGCTTATCCTCTGCATAAATTCTCAACTGTTTTAGGCTTGGGGTCTTGCTCTGCTTCAGGAAAATTTAAGAGAGCCCTTAATTAAAAGCTATGTACCTGTGGAATATTTGGAACTGCTTATAATTGAGCATGTCCCTGTCTTATGATTCATCTATATTTTTATTTTATATTAAGAGAGTCTTTCTTACTGAGATCCTTTGCGACGTCATCCAAGCTAATTTCAATAAATTCATTCCTCTTTGGATATTCTGGGTATTTTGAGAGAAACCTGTTGCAAATAGAGCATACATACTTGTCTAGAAATACAAAACAGTAGTTTAAGCTACATGCACTTTGAAATTAAGTTACACATTTATGTTTACTTGCTACTTATGTCAAATGATCTCAAGTTATGTTTCTTCTAAATACTATCCACCAGACTTTTGTTTTGAGAAACTTAAATTATCGTGACTTCATTAATTAGAAAGCTTCTAAAATGAGTAAGCCATTACATGTGTAACGCAAGGTTGTTGTCATGCCATTTTAATTTTATGGAAGGTTTCTGTGAAAATTAGTCCTAATCTCGCCTCCAAGGGAAATAAACTATTTAACATCAAGGAAGCATCAGAACAGAACAAAAACAGCAACTAATTTGGCGCGTAAACAAAACGCGTCCACTGTCATTACAAATTCAAACATTGCCACCTCTCGCCAAATTCGGCCAAATTTGGCGCTAAACAGTTAATCACTAGCAACGCTCATATCTCCAATTTTCTACTTACTTCTGACACAAAAGGCCAAGCGATTTGTCCTTTCTGCTAACAGTTATCTTGTTTCCTCCGCAATCAAGTTGGGAAGACTCTTCTTTTATGAATTTTTCGTCTACAAGAGCTTCAGACTGTTTTGAATTTGAAATTAGCGAGCTCGCCGCCATGTGAAGTGCCTCGAAGGTGTTAGAATTTTGACCAGGAAAGAGTTCCCTTTTCTTTATCTCGCGATCGCGAATTGCCGGGCTTGCAGCACTAACAAGCATTTTAAGATTAGCTGTAGGTGTGAGTGGATCATCACCGGTTTGATTTGTGCAGTTCTTTGATGTATCTGCTAACTTTGGCGGGGTAGCGGGAAGTCCTTGATTCCAAACACTGTTCAGCAGCTGACTTGTAATTTGATGTTTGCAATCTTCGATGCCAGCAACCGGCAAATTCTTTTCCTCCTGCACCAGTGACTCATCAGAAACCATTTTATTCGACACGCAATTTGTAGCTATCGACGAGAGTTCCGCCAGCGAAGGATATCTGGCTAAAGGGATTGATTGTGATGAGCTGTTACACTCACTGTCCGTATCATCAAAATCACTGACGTCTGGGTTCATTTTATCGTCGTTGGCATCCCAGCCTTCAGGAGTTAATAAAACTCGGTTTGATTCCATGTTACCCTTGAAATCATTGAAAGGAAATTTGTATTAGTTTAGCTGGAGGTACAAACAGATGAAATGTATCGTAGTATTAAAATATTCATCTGCTTACTCGTTACAAATTAGATCTCTGATCATGACATACGTTATCTTTGATCTTAAAAACGTTACCAGTTGTCTACAATCACATGATAGTTTTGAAAATCAGTTAATTATTTTCTAAGAAGAAGAAATTTATGCACAGAATATACTAAACATATTTGAGAGCTGACGAAAGACTCGAAAAGCTGGAGCGGGAACACTGAAAGTTCGTGTCGATCGAAGTGATCACGTTAACGTTATGTACCTCACATTTTTACTAACCTCTGTCAAATGCTTATTGAAAAGCAGCTAACACAACGACGTCGATACTTCATAGAGGTGGAAAAATTCACTTTGAGGGCATTTAGAAGCCAAAACGGCTGCAGTAATCACCTCGGCTTTCTTTAGAAGTACAATGGAATCGCTTTGTAGCGGTTGTGACTTTTGGCGCGTTCAATTTTACGCGGGGATTTCGGGTCGTCACCCTCCGTCCCTTTGTTAGCCAATGACATTCACTATTTTTCATCATGTGATCTATACATAAACCAGGCAAGGTAGCTTAGCTCGCTTTCGTTCTCTTGCGGAAGTTGGCAAGACCTGGTTACAAAGTGAGCACGCTCAGCGCGCGCCAACAAAATGGCGGCCACGAGAGGAGGTATATGGAATGCTATTTTTGCTGCTATTTATCTCTTTTGAACGTTTTATTGACGTTTTCTTTCTTTAACTTTTAGGGGTATGGAGACCTTACAAGGAGCTCCAGGCAGTCGTAGAGCGATCACTATACAAGAAAAGTCCTGAAGTCTATCATGAACTTGAGGTTTCCTTGAAAAAATTTAAACCAGATTTTATCTCTTTACTGAAAAATCCGGTAAGCTCTGTTCAGTTTGCAGTGGGTAAGACTCAAAATTAAGCCTAGCTTGTTCCAGGCGTACAACCGTGCCTCACTACAGTGGAACCTCGATTTAACGAACCTCGGTATAACGAACGATTTCCTTGAGCCCAGTTAAAATTACACTAAAAATATGTATGGAACAGAACCTCGATTTAACGAAATCCTCGTTATAACGAACACAATCCACGAGCGCAAACTTAAAACTTACCTCGATATAGCGAATAAATGTCAGCATGTGATAAAAGATGAATGCCAAACAGACCAACAAGGATAGAATTTATGTGTACAGTACATGTGTAGCTTTAAGCAATTTTGTTTGCCTGTTTTTGAGTTCCTAGTGCCGTAGCTATGTATAGCTCAGTAGAAATGTTATCACAGTAGTTTTTCAGATCTAGAAATGCTGGGTTTTATAAATTAATTATTAACTTTACCTCGATATTACGAACATTTAAGTCATTTTCCCGAAAATT